TGTGTGTGTGTTTGTGTGTGTGTATGTGTGTGTGTGTGTGTGTGTGTGTGTGTGTGTGTACATATATATATTAGATAAATATATATCTATATATAGATATAGATATACACATATATATATATATATATATATATATATATATATATATATATATATATATATATATTCACGAGAGAGAGACAAAGAGAAAGAGAGAAAAAATATTTCTTTATAAAATATATTTATTACTAAATAACTGTTGCACATTGCGATTAACATTTGTACTCTTTAGATATGCACGTTTGTTTTATATATAATTCACGACACTTTTAATTCACTATTGGACACTCTGACTGGGTCTAGTGGAACGTTTCTGAAAGAGCCAACCGCATCGGCTGTTCGTCGCAGATAATAACTCTGCTACTTTTTGAGCGTTTTGTTTCTCCTCAGAGGATGACTTCTTAATCTGCGATATCCCCATTAGATTATTATTAATTGCAACAATCATACAATATATTCGAAAGACAAGAGAAGAAAAAAAGATTTTGATCGCAATTTGATTAAGTATTATATCGTCTTCAAGACTTTCAATTTTACTAACTTCGTCAAACTTTCTTCTAACTTTATATCCTCTATACGTAGCCTGTATCATAGTAGCTGCTTCTTCTTCGGACTTGACCGAATCCGCTCGATTTTCAGAGTATCTCGATTTCTTCGTCACTTTCTGCTGTTTCTTTATAGGAAGCATTGCATTCTGTTCCCACTGCTTGCGGGTATAAACATCTGAAACGTTTCTCCCTTGCTGATCTTCGCAATTCTGATGATTCTCGCAAGCATGTCTCTTGTAGAAGTCCATAGATTTTCGTGGCGATTCACCTGCTCCGTGAAATCTTGTCTCGTGAACGACAGATTTACCGTTTCTATTTCCATCGCACTGCGCTTTGTTCTACGAAAGGAAATGAAAGGAAAGCCGATAGATGAGAAATACTTAATCGCAAGCAAATCACCGTGATCGTTATTAGTATATCTTCAGCTTCTCCCAAAGCGATTTGTTTAACAGCAGGTAAGCTTACCGCCCTCATATTATTGTTTCTGCCCATATTGCTGAGACACTCGGTCAAGATTTCAGGTGGAATCAATATACCTGATGAGGTTGCGACCTTTGTCGTATATTTCCTCGGTCCTCTACTCTGTGTTGTGCTATATCGTTCTAAAAAGAAATACAGGAACGTGTTCTTGAAAATCTCTTAAAGAACTTTAAGGTTTATAGATTACGTTACGTCAATTTGCACCTAAGGGACGCGAATCCACGCAGCAATGACTCTGGCCGCAATCCGTGTGTATTCTTCCCAGCGGTAAGGGTGAGAACTCCTTAGGCGGAGAATTCGGAGGTGTGGGTTTCGTACGTGTTTTCCGAACTTTCAGTTCCGTAACTTTTGTCTTTTGATACTCCTCGAGATACATCAAAAACTCACGATATGTAACATAGTTCTGAAGAATAAAAAATGTTTTAACAGTTTTAATCGTTTAGAGAATAGTTGAAATATAATTTATGGTTCCTATGTATGGCAATAAGTTTTACATATTATCGGATAAAAAATGTGTATTTGTTGAAATAATAAAATTACTTTGTCCTCTCCGGCCCAATTGCGATTGGTAGGTTCACTGAGCCCGAGTAAGTCGATCCAGTGGTAGTAGTCTTCCGTTTGATTGCCATACCAATATTTTATAATGACAAAGCTACAGAATTTAATGTTGATTATACTCTTATTTGTTTGGCATTTTATTTTATAGATGAATAGGAAATTCGTACGCCAATCCGTCGTCCACCATCTTTTGCACTTCAGGATAAGACATCAGTTCCATGAATTCTGGATTTTCGGGATTTCTCTTGACGTCTACTAATTGCCACGGAGCTATAAGTCCGAATCGGACACACTTCAGCACTTCCAACATGTGTTGCTTTCTTTCATTCCAATCGTGCATCAACCATCTCACGGCGGACATTAGGACTTCCATCTCGCTAATACGAAATTTACTTCTTATTATTATATAAAAACTTCTTTCTTTAATAAATAAATTTATTTAATAAATAAAGTCTCAGCGAAAAGTTTTTTTAATAATTAAAAACTATTTTCTTGAAAGTAAAATCTTTTCGTACGCAAACATAATAGTACCTGTTGACGCAAATGTAATTCGACTTCAACAGTAAGCACAGTTCGTCTACCGACAATTCTAAAAAGTCCTTAGTGCTGACGAGCATTAAGAAAAATTTCATAATTCTCGGTACCATCAGCTCCATCACAGCGGTGTTTCCGATCTTCTTCGCTTCCAGATACAACAGGAAGGCAGTATCCTCGGAGAAAAGTTCGTCGTTGTCAATGAATGCCCAGCATTGTTCTTCTAGTTCTTTGTAAACAGTATAAGACGTATATTTTAAAAGAATAACCGCATTAATACACCTCTTCCATGTACCTCTCACTTAAATGTACCTTGAAGTATTTAATTGAATAGTTTTGCCTTTTTCAAAGATCGCAAAAATTTCACTACCGTTCGAAATGCAAATTTTAAGTGCAAGATAAAACGCACACCTTTGATACCGAGGTACTGTGAGGCCATAAAAATTTCTAGGATGTTATCTCTTCGTAATAACTGGTAACTTTCGTTCATTGAACTGATCATCCAGTCGTAAATTATAGAGAAGGCCTTAGAAGTCACGGTGCTCTACATTCAACGAGTACAATGAAACGGATTTGTATTTTTGTATCAATGGACAAATAGTATTTCTTTTATCGAGCAATTAAATATAAGTGAAATCTTACATCTGATAAATCAATATCCTTGCAATTCTTCTCATCAAAAAACGTGCTGTAACTTTGCAGAACGAGTAGATGACAGTAAAACTCGTCATTGTCGATTCGGATGACGCAATCGGCATTTCTTTAAGAGAAAGAGAGAGAGAGAGAGAGAGAGAGAGAGAGAGAGAGAGAGAGAGAGAGAAACGGAATAAATTAATGAAACCTGTTTCTGTATAATTTAATTTTCAACAGAATGATATATTAGTAAAATGTAACAAGACATTATATAATCTAAAATTAGCGTTCAAAACTCTGTTCTTACTTGTAGTTGGTGATACGCTTAGCTAATTCCCGATACAAATCTGTCTTCTCCGGGAGAATTATATTTTCCCAATTGATTGGTTGCTCGTTTGTAAAACCTAGTCTACTCACAGAGAAGAGGGTAGTGAAGAAGTGAAAATAAGGGTGAGAATTATTTAATATTAATTATTAATTAATTTAACTTTAAAATCGCTACGTAAACTCTCTGTAGAATTTTCGACTGAAAAATGTGAATAAAACTAACGAGGCGAGTGGTACTTCATTCATCGATGGTAGCTGATGAGCCGTTGATTGAGCCGGCTGCTTCTCTGCCATTTCTGGTATAAATTTCGTACTCAGTTGAGTTGAGTTTTTTAAGTTGTAATTGGTTTCCACGTAAGGCAACTTCTTCTGCGCCTGATATTATAAGATTTTCGTACATTGTTCAAGTTATATTAAAGCCGAGGAATCTATGCTGTTCTCATTTGTAAAAAGCGAAGTTGATCAGATTTGGCTTCCGAAGGGCTCACACATGTTATTTTTCTAGTAACTGTAAATTTACTACCAATTTAATTCTACCTGTAGTTGGTCGATCGTGGACGGTGTAATACCAGGCGGAAGATTAATGTATTTCGTTCGGATGGTGGAATCAGGAATAAACGTGCCGTTATCGACACCAGATCGACTGAGCTCTGCCTTGACGTTGATCCTCGTGCGTCGCGGGTCGGCAACTAAAACGCTGAATTTTTTCGACTCGAACACCACCTAGAACAACTATGCGTCTGCTCGGTGATCGATATTCCTGATTCCAGGAGAGTCCCGGAATGGCACCTACTTGTACGAGAGCCTCTTTACCTGATTCGGGATAATTTTGAGATTTCCGCTGGGTGTAGGTCGAAAGGGAAATACACGACTCGTCTCGTCACCTTCGTTCACGGTAATAAATGTAGAGTTCACTTCCTTAGGACGTGTTTGCGTTCGTTGTATCAAGTTTGAACAAGGAACTATTCGCTTTAGATCTCTTGCGTCGTCCGTTTCCACCTGTCTGTAAGATTGTCGCTCCCTCAGTCTCTCCAAGTGAAATTCCACTCGGAAAGTAGAATAATAGGTCAGCCACTTAAAATTAAGTGACTTTTCATTCGTGCAGAGTAAATTCCTTCACTCTGAGACGTCGAATATTTAATTCGAAATTGAAAAGTAAATTTATGAATTCGTTTCAAATGAGATTACATTCCAAGAAATTTATAAAATATATCACTCCATTAATTTCATTGTAGTCTAATTAATCTGTCTCGAATTTTTTACCTTAGACAATGGTCCATAGGTTTTGAAACAGTAGCTTCAATTGGCGAGCATTTTTTCTTCCAAACTCGTTTCTCTTCGATGCACTTCTGTCGAAATCTTCGATTTCGGATCGCGTTCTCGTGCGTCTTTTCTTGACACTTGATAAAATCTCTGGAAGACTCAGCTGTGCAACCAAATTCTTTATTCTTTGAGCCTTCTTCTATTTGCCTTTCAGGTACAATCCAGGGATACTGCAGCGCTGATACGAGCCGTTCCACTTGATTCTCGTGATAAATGTTAACGTGCAGAGAATGCTGCTGCTTTGACACACGACGGTACCGTCGAGAGGCGAGCTTCCGCCGAGGTAGGGGATATCTGGGTGACTGAGTTTCCGGGGTTTCTACTATTTTTGTCCTTTTCGAACATATTTTTCAATTAAAAGTCACTTTTGTGATTTTAATCATTATCTTATGATCATTATTTTATGATTTTCATTTTATATTTCTTATTCGATGGTCGACCCGACATTGCACAAGTATCGTGATATCATTAAGCGATATAATTAACATATTGAATTTCTATCTCTCTACCGCAAATAGATACGCTTACTTGTCAGGTGACGCAGAAATCGCGGTTTTCGATTGCGACGTTACTGCTGCTACAGTTTGATCGGATTTCGAAAGTCGCACAGGCACCTTCGTAGTAGACGACGTGGGTGTGCTGGATCTTCCGTGATAAAGCACGACGACACTGCTTTTGCTGTTGTCCTCTCGCGGCTGATCAGATGCCGCCGATCGATCTACTTTGAGATCGCCTACAAGAAGCTCAAGCTGAATCGATCACGCGAGAAGGTGCGCTGAGAAAAAGGTGTCGAATAATTTTTTTTCAATATAGTTCTTTTAGTTTGCACATATTCAGAAAAAACATAGTGATGACAACTATTTCTGTGAATGCAGACAAAGCAGTGAAACCCGGGAAAATCTCAGCTTTGAGTAAAACTCACGTTTTCTACTGTTCTGTCGAATCGCTCTTACGATCCGTGGGGTGCTACTCTCTTTGCTGTTGTCACCACAATACATTAGGCGCCTTAAAACGAGATAATAAGGCGATACGCTACTTAAAAGTTTAAAAGACTGGCGTGAGCAAATGATCGGTTTAGCTGCTAGAATAGTTACCGAAACTTTTCACTAAGTTTACAGTCGAATCCTCCACCGTCGCCCGAGTGTCTCTCTTCGAAAGTCACTTGTGGCTACGAAACATTCGCCCACCGAGAATAATAGCTTGAATCCAAAGTGTTCGCGATCTAACGCCGTGTGTTTTACCTTACCTCATACTTCCTCAAACAGTCACACAACGTGGAAGAGTCGATACGTCGCAACGCAGCGATCTTGTCCAACCCTTCGGTAACTAAAACGCGTCTCCACGAAGTAACGCGCGTGTAAAAAAGCAATCGTGACGAACAAAAATATTTGTCCAATGCTCTTTCTAATATTATTCTACGCAAGACCATGCATCTCATTAACACTTACATTACTTACGTAATTTTGCTGCGATTTTTCTGTCAACGAACGACCGCTGACAACAACGTGACGATCTCGATGGCGGCTCGAGGAGATTCAACTGATCGTTCACCTCGTTCCTTAATGCTGGACGCGTGACTCGCGACCTTCGACAAGACCGTGTCACTCTGGAAAAAATACAAAACCGTTGGTTATAAAATCTTCTCAGATTACACGTGCTTCGTGGAACGGGATTATCGAGTGCATTACCTCGGATTTAGAAGGTCGAGTTCAGATGAGAAATACGAATTGTCCTCGGCGGTTGTGGAGCTATCAAACTGCCTCTGCGAACAGAATTAAGGAGCTTCAGAACAATGTGGTAAAGAACAATGTGATATAGTACATAATACATACAATATACTGACGAAAGTTACATCGGTTAATCGAAAAATCGCAGCAAGCTATTAGCGTACTGTTTACAAATAAGATCGCAAAATCATTACTCGCGTTTAAATCATTAATGCTTGACGTTTAAATCATTAACGCTTGACATGTTTTTTGTACAGCTACATTTACATCGTCATAACGCACGCAACCTCTTCGCATGTCACGTTCAAAGGATAACTCGCAGGACCGGCATAATAACGATTGGAGTCGCTCCTTCGTCTTCGTCGTGTGACGTAAAAAAACGGTAAAAATATATGTTATATAAATATGCTGTGACGCTTAAAACAAACTGGACATTTGTAAAAGTACGGTGTGTCCGGAAAAGCCCTGGAAACCTAACAGATGAAGGCGATTAACAAGAGAATGTTCTCCCTTTACCTCGTGTTTCGTCTCCAAAATTAGAAAGATCAAATCAGAAAGAGAGAGTGCGTGCTGAGAAGTTAAAAACTTCTAAATCGAATAATTCGAACGTACAACGCACATATTTCATACTCCTTTATCAACATTCTATATAACATTCCATTAAACAGTTTTAAATAAATATACTTCTTGTTTACTTATCTAACGTGAACAAATATATAATGTAAATATATACTTATTGTTTACTTATCTAACATAAAATATATCCAATAAATAAATATATAGAATATATCCTATAAATAAACTCGCTCAAAGTTCTTTTTTAAATTGCATTAAATTTCAAACACCAGGACGTTCACAAGAGTCGCTCACGTCTCTGTACCCAAAGAAAATCGCAATTTTCCACGGATATCAGAAGAGTACTAGCATGTCTTTGTGACAAATCAACGAACTTACTGCGAATGTCACTTTGACATAATGACAGCTAATTCCACATGCGTTTGTGCGAAGATAATATCCTTTCCCACGTGTGTAAGGAAACGAATGTCGATGTTACGCAGAACATCGGAGAAGTTCCCAAACCGAGGGACGTTGAAACGTGATCGATCATATCTGAACATCGGCTGTAAAGCAAGCAATTGAAATAATTGCATTTAATGATGCCGATTGTAAGCCGATTCAAGCGGCTTCCAAAGAGAATCATTTAAAAGCAATCATCATTATGTTCGCGTAGTAAGCGTAGCAAAAGTAGCAAGTGTAGCAAGGATGAAAGCTTCCCGCAGTCTTCTACCAATGGTCTAATAATTTGCGCAAAATGCTCTTCGATGAACGCAACTATAGAATCAATAAAGTTCTTCTGTCGTGGATCGGCCAATGGCCATATCAAACAAGCAGAAGAAACAGCGCTATTATTCTTATTATAGTGTTCTTAGCTGGTACACAAATTGTCGCCAAGGTAAGAGCATTTTTGGATATCACACACGTGAAAATTGTTCTTTCATGAAATTACATAATCTATTTTTTTTCTGTCTTAATCTCTTGCTTTAATATGTTATTTATAATTGTATGTTTCAAGTATAGATATGCGGTTTGTTCTCCATTAAAGATATGGATGTCTTTATTGATTCCCTCTCACCACTGGTGGCCGACTTAGGCTGTGGAATCAAGTTCCTTACTTGCGTATTAAAGACAACGCAGGTACGTGACGTTATCAAATTATCTAAATAATTCTTTTATAATAAGGTTTAATTACAGATAAAGGCGCTTTTCAATCAGATACGAGACGATAGGCAGACGTTATCGACGTGTGAAAACATCAATATTTTTGACAGTTACGCACGCAAGGGACGCAAATTTACAATTATCTACGGGGGTGAGCATAACAATTTTATAAACGACAAAAAGGTAAAGTTCTGAGAAAGGCCTCAAGAAGTAATTTACAAAATCATGTAGCATAGAAAAACATAGTAAATTTACATAATGTAATGTAATATAATTCTTGTAATAAAAATCATGGGAAATTTTTCTTGAAAAATCGCAGCGTTCAAGCTTGTTGGAAACAAAAGGAAACATTTAGATTTCTTTAGGTTTCCTTTACTTTGCGCTAATATTATTCATGTTGGTGCCGTTGCAACCGTTATTACTTGGCTCCTCGAATGATACAACTCGTCCGTTATTACACGAAGTCAATTATTACATCGACATGGACAAGTATTACTTACCAATTTTGCTTCACGGATATATCACAGCCGCCATTTGTGTGACCATAGCTGTTGCGACAGATACAATGTTCGTCATCATGGTACAACATGTTTGCGGGCTGTTTACGATCATCGGGTGAGAACTTTCATTGGTTCTCCTGAAATACAACAAAATGTATTTATAGAATTTTCTTTTTGATAATTTTCAGCAAAGAAATTATAATATTTTCTTATCGGATATTGGACGTGTTCAGGGACTAATATCAATAATCATTACATGACATTTACTTCAAATGAGATACTCAGATTTGATTTTGGAGTTAGATGAGATTTTCAGCTAAATCGCGATTACAGATGTAATATCGTATATATTACATTTTTGTATATATATACATGAATATTGTATATATATTGAGTATTGTATATATATGAATATTGTATATATTATATGATTTAAGTAAAAAAATTCAAATCTAATTTTAAATTCAGATTTAGGTATTTCACAAAGGACAAGTCGAGTAACGACTATTGATATAGACCTGAGTGTCTTACGTAAGAAAAGTTACAAATAATGACTATAAATACGAATTTATGCCGAACTAAAGTCGCAGTGTATTTGAAAACTATACTATTAAATAAAATATTTACCAAACTATGAAATAAACAAGAAAAACAATCTTGTAGAATATGCATTGGACTGTTTCAGACAACAGGTGGATAACATAATAAAGGAGGAAAATCTAATGATAGATATCAATCCACCTGTTGAGAACGATGAACCATATAAAAACATAATAAAGAGTATTCACGCACATAAAAGAGCTTTAAGGTTTGCGCTGCAACGTATACTGTAGTCGATTTTACCATTCTCTTGTCGTTCATAAAATATGTATTAGATTCATTTGAAAAACATATACATGTGTGCCAGCTGCTTAAAATGCATTGTATCAAATATACTTCTATAAGGTTTGCCAATCTCGTGGAAGCCGTGTTTAACCCGATGCTTCTCGTCATGGCAGCTTGCAACGTACTCGTTGTAAGCATGACAGGCGTTACGGTATGTCTACGTCATTTATATTGTATTAAATAACAATATCTTTTTTTCTCACGCCATTTTTGTTCTCATCGAGTAACAAATAACTAATGTAAATATTGACTGTTTGAACACTTGTCTATCGTCCAGAAGAATCACAAGGTATTTTGTTAATTGAACAAAAAACGCGAGAAATGATAATAAACATAAAAAATGGACAACAAACAATAGGAATAATAATTATATAATTTTTTTATTTTTTGTTCTGTCGTACAATTAAATCTAGAAATGTTGAGGAAGTCAACATATCTATATAAAGTCTAAGAAGATTTTGTAGTACAATATTTAAAATGTCAATCCTATTTAGGCAATGACAAACCTAGACAAGCCATCAGAATTTCTAAGACAAATGGCTTTTTCATGCGCCTTGTTAATGCACCTGTTCTTCGAGAGTTTTCAGGCACAGCAACTGATCGACCACAGCATACATATTCACACTAGCTTGTACGTATAGACAAAAATTTTATGATATTCTCATAAACATTTGATGAATTTAATAATATGAATCGTGATTTCTCTCGCTCTTGTTTAAATTAAACTATCAGAAAAAAACAAAATTCTAGTTAAATAAAAACTAACTTGGAATATATCACTTGAATGACATAATCACATCAATCTTTTTTCTTACAGAATAAACATGACATGGTATCGCACCTCATTCAAGACAAGGAAAATCTTTATTTTTATGCTGATGAGAACACGAGAACCTTGCGTCTTAACAGCAGGAAAAATGTTCGTTATATCCATGGATACTTTTTCTACGGTAAGATACGCGCGTCATGCAAATCGGAAAATATTCATTAAACAAGATTGCATATAACACGAAAAGTAAATAAAAATGATAATGTTCAACTTGTACTGATAACGGTACCTTATTTCAAAACTGATATCGACATTCGAATACACGATTTTAACATAGAACACTGCGATTTTAATATAGTTTATTTTATTTCAAGATCGCTCGCATGTCTATGTCCTATTTCACAATGCTGCGATCGATGCAATGATTAATTTGCTTCTCTACCTCGTAAATTGATGTATGGATCCTCCAGAAGACAATGACGACATAATTGTAGTATCTTTATTTTGAACTTCAACTTTTACACAGCCAGGAAGTTTTCGGTTTATACATTCCTTATTTTATTTTTTCTTATTTCTATGTACGACAAAATTATATATTAAATAAATATTTTCCTCCCTAAGTAATTAATTTTATTAAATTAAGTTAATTCTAGGTTGGTTTGTATCTTGTTAAATCTCATATTATATAGTCTCATATTATATAGTCTACAATTCCATTTCTTATAATTTCTAAAAACCTATAAAAAAATATTGACAGGTAAAATTTCTGTATAATATACAATTAGAAGATTACTATAAAAATTTAATTCTTACTGTTCTGCATAATTTTTTTCCTTCGTGATACATAAAATGTCGTCAACATATTTGCATACTAATCCATTATTATTAAACTGGGATAACAACTTATTAAACATATCTTGATAATATATATCAGAAAAAATTGACGACAATCGCAAACCTTGTGGTACACCAATTTTAATCGAGTATATTTTACCATACAATTTAATCTAAGTAAAAAAAAAGGTTAAACTTTTATTAATATATAATTTCCTATTTTAATTTAATATTTAACTATGTTCTTACCGTTTTTTTAATAGCATTTTTTTAATCTTATAAGTTAACTTTAACCAATTAACTAATTGGGGTTTTTTGGCGATACTCGCACCAATGTTTCCTTTTAAAAGTTTCATACCTAAAAATTGCACTGTTCTCATAATTTGTTGTTTTCTCATATTTTTATCCTTCTTCTTGTACTCGCGCATTACTTGTAGAGAGGCAAATGTTTCTTGCAGCAATCTTTAATTATATTGCATAACTTTTCTGTAAAATGGAATAAATGGTTTATTACATATTGCTTGATCAATAAATACCCTTTCTAATTTAAAGAGATAACAAGAGATATAGATTATACCTTGTCTTATTGACCCAAACGCATCTTGTATGTCACAACGTACGTAATACAAGTGATGAGTGGACAATGTTTTCTTAAAAGTATAAATTTGTTGAATACAACCTTTAACAGTTGGAATTCCTTTCTCATTAATATATGTATGATACAGTTGTTGAAGAAATCTTTCTATTTCAAAAAATTATTTCTATTTCAAAGGATGTTTTTTCAAAATTACACCTAAAATAGCATACAACGTTTTTTTTAAATGACATGTATGTAATAATATTTAACTGATGACAAAAAAAATTTATATATGTATTTTGTTATAATTCTCAGTCCTGAAGAACTTGTAGTAAGTCTATTTACACCTAATTTATTATATTTTTTTATTTTCACTGGTTGTTGTAACAAAACATAACCATTATTTATTTTTTCATTTATAAATTTATGTTGTATTTGATACCATTCTTCTTTCATAATATACAACCATTTATTTCTCGATGGTATCAATACTATATATTTGTGCAGAATTTTTATAACGTATTGTGCAAAAAACCAATGCAACAATTTTAAAATGACAATCCACTTCTGTTTTATACTTTTTAGTGGATGCAACCACTCAATTTTGGAAATCTGTAAAGATAAACTGTTCTAGTAAGCATTAAATATTATAATTATTAAGTTGACTAGAAGAAAAAATATTCCTGGCGAGACCGAAACCATAATTTATGTTATATTTTCAAATACCATAATTTATGTTATATTTTCAAATAAACTTACATCGAGCTTTTCCAATAATGGATCTATGTTTAATGATCTTCCATTGGCGTTGCTACACCCTCGCGCAGTTATATATTGTTGTGAAGTTGAGACGGACAAACAATATCTGTGTTATTATTATAAGTCATTTATATAGAAAAATAAAGAATATATCTACATTCGAGCGAGTTATGTTAACGCGCTTGCGCACATTGATAATTAAAAACTATTTTCTTGAATGTAAAATCTTTTCGTGCGCAAACATAATAGTACCTGTTGATGCAAATGTAATTCGACTTCAACAGTAAGCACAGTTCGCCCACCGACAATTCTAAAAAGTTCTTAGTGCTGACGAGCATTAAGAAAAATTTCATAATTTTCGGAACCATTAGCTCCATCACAGTGGTGTTTCCGATCTTCTTCGCTTCCAGATACAACAGGAAGGCAGTATCCTCGGAAAAAAGTTCGTCGTTGTCAATGAATGCCCAGCATTGTTCTTCTAGTTCTTTGTAAACAGTATAAGACGTATATTTTAAAAGAATAACCGCATTAATACACCTCTTCCATGTACTTCTCACTTAAATGTACCTTGAAGTATTTAATTGAATAATTTTGCCTTTTTCAAAGATCGCAAAAATTTCACTACCGTTCGAAATGCAAATTTTAAGTACAAGATAAAACGCACACCTTTGATACCGAGATACTGTGAGGCCATAAAAATTTCTAAGATGTTATCTCTTCGTAATAACTGGTAACTTTCGTTCATTGAACTGATCATCCAGTCGTAAATTATAGAGAAGGCCTTAGAAGTCACGATGCTCTACATTCAACAAGTACAATGAAGCGGATTTGTATTTTTGTATCAATGGACAAATAGTATTTCTTTTATCGAGCAATTAAATACAAGTGAAATCTTACATCTGATAAATCAATATCCTTGCAATCATTCATCTCGTCGAAAAACGTGCTGTAACTTTGCAGAACGAGTAGATGACAGTAAAACTCGTCATTGTCGATTCGGATGACGCAATCGGCATTTCTTTAAGAGAGAGAGAGAGAGAGAGAGAGAGAGAGAGAGAGAGAGAGAGAGAGAGAGAGAAGAACGGAATAAATTAATGAAACCTGTTTGTGTATAATTTAATTTTCAACAGAATGATATATTAGTAAAATGTAACAAGACATTATATAAAATTAGCGTTCAAAACTCTGTTCTTACTTGTAGTTGGTGATACGCTTAGCTAATTCCCGATACAAATCTGTCTTTTCCGGGAGAATTATATTTTCCCAATTGATTGGTTGCTCGTTTGTCCTAGTCTAACCTAGTCCTAGTAAACCTAGTCTACTCACAGAGAAAAGGATAGTGAAGAAGTGAAAATAAGGGTGAGAATTATTTAATATTAATTAATAATTATTTTTACTTTAAAATCGCTACGTAAACTCTCTGTAGAATTTTCGACTGAAAAATGTGAATAAAACTAACGAGGCGAGTGGTACTTCATTCATCGATGGTAGCTGATGAGCCGTTGATTGAGCCGGCTGCTTCTCTGCCATTTCTGGTATAAATTTCGTACTCAGTTGAGTTGAGTTTTTTAAGTTGTAATTGGTTTCCACGTAAGGTAACTTCTTCTGTGCCTGATATTATAAGATTTTCGTACATTGTTCAAGTTATATTAAAGCCGAGGAATCTATGCTGTTCTCATTTGTAAAAAGCGAAATTGTCCAATATATTTGTGAAAGGCGAAGTTGTCCAAAAATATTTGTCCAATGCTCTTTCTAATATTATTCTACGCAAGACCATGCGTCTCATTAACACTTACATCACTTACGTAATTTTGCTGCGATTTTTCTGTCAACGAACGACCCTGACAACAACGTGACGATCTCGATGGCGGCTCGAGGAGATTCAATTGATCGTTCACCTCGTTCCTTAATGCTGGACGCGTGACTCGCGACTTCGACAAGACCGTGTCACTCTGGAAAAAATACAAAACCGTTGGTTATAAAATCTTCTCAGATTACACGTGCTTCGTGAAGCGGGATTATCGAGAGCATTACCTCGGATTTAGAAGGTCGAGTTCCGATGAGAAACACGAATTGTCCTCGGCGGTTGTGGAGCTATCGAACTGCCTCTGCGAACAGAATTAAGGAGCTTCAGAACAATGTGGTAAAGAACAATGTGATATAGTACATAATACATACAATATACTGACGAAAGTTACATCGGTTAATCGAAAAATCGCAGCAAGCTATTAGCGTACTGTTTACAAATAAGATCGAAAAATCATTACTCGCGTTTAAATCATTAATGCTTGACGTTTAAATCATTAACGCTTGATATGTTTTTTGTACAGCTACATTTACATCGTCATAACGCACCTCTTCGCATGTCACGTTCAAAGGATAACTCGCAGGACCGGCATAATAACGGCTCCTTCTTCGTCTTCATCATGTGATGTAAAAAAACGGTAAAAATATACATTGTATAAATGCTGTGACGCTTAAAACAAACTGGATATTTGTAAAAGTACGGCGTGTCCGTAAAAGCCCTGGAAACCTAACAGATGAAGGCAATTAACAAGAGAATGTCCAAAATTAGAAAGATCAAATCAGAAAGAGAGAGAATGCGTGCTGAAAATTTCTAAATCGAATCATTCGAACGTACAACGCACATCTCATACTCCTTTATCAACATTTTATATAACATTCCATTAAACAGTTTTACATAAATATACTTCTTGTTCACTTATCTAACGTGAACAAATATATAATGTAAATATATACTTATTGTTTATTTATCTAACATATAGAATATATCCTATAAATAAACTCGCTCAAAGTTCTTTTTTAAATTGTTTTATATTTCAAACACCAGGACGTTTACAAGAGTCGCTCACGTCTTTGTACCCAAAGAAAATCGCAATTTTCCACGGATATCAGAAGAGTACTAGCTGTGCATGTATTTGTAACAAATCGACGAACTTACTGCGAATGTCATTTTGACATAATGACAGCCAATTCCACATGCGTTCGTGCGAAGATAATATCCTTTCCGACGTGTGTAAGGAAACGAATGTCGACGTTACGCAGAACATCGGAGAAGTTCCCAAGCCGGGGGACGTTGAAACGTGATCGATCATATCTGAACATCGGCTGTAAAGCAAGCAATTGAAATAATTGCATTTAATGATGCCGATTGTAAGCCGATTCAAGAGGCTTGCAAAGGGAATCATTTAAAAGCAATTATTATTATGTTCGCGTAGCAAGCGTAGCAAGCGTAGCAAATCTAGCAAGGATGAAAGCTTCACGCAGTCTTCTACCAATGGTCTACTGATTTGCGCAAAATGCTCTTCGATGAACGCAACTATAGAATCAATAAAGTTCTTCTGTCGTGGATCGGCCAGTGGCCATATCAAACAAGCAGAAGAAACAGCGCTATTATTGTTATTATAGTGTTCTTAGCTGGTACACAAATTGTCGCCAAGGTAAGAGTATTTTTGGATATCACAAACGTGAAAATTGTTCGTGCATGAAATTACATAATCTATCTTTTTTTCTGTCTTAATCTCCTGCCTTAATATGTTATTTATAATTGTACATTTCAAGCATAGATATGCGGTTTGTTCTCCATTAAAGATATGGATGTCTTTATTGATTCCCTCTCACCACTGGTGGCCGACTTAGGCTGTGGAATCAAGTTCTTTATTTGCATATTAAAGACAACGCAGGTACGTGACGTTATCAAATTATCTAAATAATTCTTTTATAATAAGGTTTAATTACAGATAAAGGCGCTTTTCAATCAGATACGAGACGATAGGCAGACGTTATCGACGTGTGAAAACATCAATATTTTTGACAGTTACGCACGCAAGGGACGCAAATTTACAATTATCTACGGGGGTGAGCATAACAATTTTATAAACGACAAAAAGGTAAAGTTCTGAGAAAGGCCTCAAGAAGTAATTTACAAAATCATGTAGCATAGAAAAACAGTAAATTTACATAATATAATGTAATATAATTCTTGTAATAAAAATCATGGGAAATTTTTCTTGAAAAATCGCAGCGTTCAAGCTTGTTGGAAACAAAAAGAAACATTTAGATTTCTTTAGGTTTCGTTTACTTTGCGCTAATATTATTCATGTTGGTGCCGTTGCAACCGTTATTACTTGGCTCCTCGAATGATACTCGTCCGTTGTTACACGAAGTCAATTATTACATCGACATGGACAAGTATTACTTACCAATTTTGCTTCACGGATATATCATGGTCGCCATTATTGTGACCATAGGTGTTGCGACAGATACAATGTTTGTCATCATGGTGCAGCATGTTTGCGGACTGTTAACGATCATCAGGTGAGAACTCTCATTGGTTCTCCTGAAATACACCAAAATCTATTTATAGAATTTTCTTTTTCATAATTTTCAGCAAAAATATATTTTTTTATCGGATATTGGACGTGTTCTGAGACCAGTATCAATAATCATTACATGACATTTACTTCAAATGAGACACTCAGATTTGATTTTGGAGTTAGATGAGATTTTCAGCTAAATCGCGATTACAGATGTAATATTGTATATATTACATCTTTGTATATATATATATATATATATATATATATATATATATATATATATATGAATATTGTATATAATATATGATTTAAGTAAAAAAATTCAAATCTAATTTTAAATTCAGATTTAAGTATTTCATATAGGACAAGTCGAGTAACGACTATTGATATAGACCTGAGTGTCTTACGTAAGACAAATTTAAAATAATGATTATAAATACGTATTTATGCCGAACTAAAGTCGCAGTGTATTTGAAAACTATACTATTAAATAAAATATTTACCAAACTATGAAATAAACAAGAATGACAATCTTGTAGAATATGTATTTGATTGTTTCAGACAACAGGTGGATAACATAATAAAGGAGGAGAATCTAATGATGGATATCAATCCACCTGTTATGAACGATGAACCATATAAAAACATAATAAAGAGTATTCGCGCACATAAGAGAGCTTTAAGGTTTGCACTGCAACGTATACTGTAGTCGATTTTACCATTCTCTAGTCTTCAGTCATCTATCATTCTTCAGTCGTTCATGAAATATCTATTAGATTCATTTGAAAAACATATACATGTGTGCAAGCTGCTTTAAATGCATTGTATCAAATTCCTATATTTCTATAAGGTTTGCCAATCTCATGGAAGCCGTGTTTAACCCGATGTTTCTCGTCATGGCAGCTTGCAACGTACTCGTTGTAAGCATGACAGGCGTTACGGTATGTCTACTTCATTTATATTGTATTAAATAACAATATCTTTTTTTCTCATGCCATTTTTGTTCTCATCGAGTAACAAATGACTAATGTAAATATTGACTGTTTGAACACTTGTCTATCGTCCAGAAGAATCACAAGGTATTTTATAATTGAACAAAAAACGCGAGAAACGATAATAAACATAAAGAATGGACAACAAACAATAGGAATAATAATTATATAATTTTTTTATTTTTGGTTCTGTCGTACAATTAAATCTAGAAATGTTGAGAAAGTCAACATTTCTATATGAAGTCTAAGAAGATTTTGTAGTACAATATTTAAAATGTCAACCCTATTTAGGCAATGACAAACCTAGACAAGCCATCAGAATTTCTAAGACAAATGGCTTTTTTATGCGCCTTTTTAATGTACCTGTTCTTCGAGAGTTTTCAGGCACAGCAGCTGATCGACCACAGCATATACATTCACACTAGCTTGTACGTATAGACAAAAATTTTGTGATATTCTCATAAACATTTGGTGAATTTAATAATATAAATCGCGGTTTCTCTCACTCTCGTTTAAATTAAACTATCAAAAAAACAAAATTCTATTTAAACAAAAACTAACTTCGAATATATCACTTGAATGACATAATCACATCAATCTTTTTTCTTACAGAATAAATATGACATGGTATCGCACCTCATTCAAGACAAGAAAAATCTTTATTTTTATGCTGATGAGAACAGAAAAACCTTGCGTCTTAACAGCAGGAAAAATGTTCGTTATATCCATGGATACTTTTACTACGGTAAGATACGCGCGTCATGCAAATCGGAAAATATTCATTAAACAAGATTGCATATAACACGAAAAGTAAATAAAAATGATAATGTTCAACTTGTACTGATAACGGTACCTTATTTCAAAACTGATATCGACATTCGAATACACGATTTTAACATAAAACACTGCGATTTTAATATAGTTTATTTTATTTCAAGATCGTTCGCATGTCTATGTCCTATTTCACAATGCTGCGATCGATGCAATGATTAATTTGCTTCTCTACTTCGTAAATTGATGTATGGATCCTCCAGAAGACAATGACGACATAATTGTAGTATCTTTATTTTGAACTTCAACTTTTACACAGCCAGGAAGTTTTCGGTTTATACATTCCTTATTTTATTTTTCCTTCTATGTACGACATAATTATATATTAAATAAATATTTTCCGCCCTAAGTAATTAATTTTATTAAATTTAGTTGATTCTAGGTTGGTTTGTATCTTGTTAAATCTCACATTATAGTCTATAATTCCATTTCTTATAATTTCTAAAAACCTATAAAAAAATATTGACAGGTAAAATTTCTATATAATATGCAATTATAAGATTACTATAATATACAATTATAGGATTACTATAATATATAATTATAAGATTACTATAAAATTTAAATTTCTATATAATATACAATATAATATACAATTATAAGATTACTATAATATACAATTATAAGATTACTATAAAAATTTAATTCTTACTGTTCTGCATAATTTTTTTCCTTCGTGATATATAAAATATCGTCAACATATCTGCATACTAATCCATTATTATTAAACTGGGATAACAACTTATTAAACATATCTTGATAATATATATCAGAAAAAATTGACGACAATCGCAAACCTTGTGGTACACCAATTTTAATCGAGTATATTTTACCATACAATTTAATCTAAGTAAAAAAAAAGGTTAAACTTTTATTAATATATAATTTCCTATTTTAATTTAATATTTAACTATGTTCTTACCGTTTTTTTTAATAGCATTTTTTTAATCTTATAAGTTAACTTTAACCAATTAACTAATTGGGGTTTTTTGGCGATACTCGCACCAATGTTTCCTTTTAAAAGTTTCATATCTAAAAATTGCACTGTTCTCATAATTTGTTGTTTTCTCATATTCTTATCCTTCTTCTTGTACTCGCGCATTACAATGTAGAGTGGCAAATGTTTCTTGCAGCAATCTTTAATTATATTGCATAACTTTTCTGTAAAATGAAATAAATGGTTTATTACATATTTACTTGATCAATAAATATCCTTTCTAATTTAAAGAGATAACAAGAGATATAGATTATACCTTGTCTTATTGACCCAAACGCATCTTGTATGTCACAACGTACGTAATACAAGTGATGAGTGGACAATGTTTTTTTAAAATTATAAATTTGTTGAATACAACCTTTAACAGTTGGAATTCCTTTCTCATTAATATATGTATGATACAGTTGTTGAAGAAATCTTAAAATTATTTCTATTTCAAAGGATGTTTTTTCAAAATTACACCTAAAATAGCATACAATGTTTTTTTTTAAATGACATGTATGTAATAATATTTGACTGTTGACAAAAAAAATTTATATATGTACTTTGTTATAATTCTCAATCCTGAAGAACTTGTAGTAAGTCTATTTACACTTAATTTATTATATTTTTCATTTTTCACTGGTTTTTTTAACAAAATATAACCATTATTTATTTTTTCATTTATAAATTTATGTTGTATTTGATACCATTCTTCTTTCATAATAAATAACCATTTATTTCTCGATGGTATCAATACTATATATTTGTGCAGAATTTTTATAATGTATTGTGCAAAAAACCAATGCAACAATTTTAAAATGACAATCCACTTCTGTTTTATACTTTTTAGTGGATGCAACCACTCAATTTTGGAAATCTGTAAAGATAAACTGTTCTAGTAAGCATTAAATATTATAATTATTAAGTTGACTAGAAGAAAAAATATCCCTGGTGAGACCAAAACCATAATTTATGTTTTATTTTTAAATAAACTTACATCAAGCTTTTCCAATAATGGATCTATGTTTAGTAATCCTCCATTGGCATTTTTAAAAGTTCCCTTTTTATTTATTGCAAGGGATAGTTTATCCGATATCTGTATCTTTTTAGGATCGGTTTTTAGAAGGCAATATATACATTTTTTTACAGCTTTCAAATTTTGCCGTGTCCCAAACAATTGGAACGGAACATTCTGGTAAAGTACCAAACCAAAGAAAATTTTTAGTAAACATATACGTATTTGACCTTTATATTTCTGTTTTGTTGGCTTTTTATCTGCTTTTATTATATTTTTTAATTCATTACTATACTTAAATATATTATGTTGCCTTTTAAATTTTTCCAATATGGGTGAGACAATTGAAGCAATGTTAGCAAAATTAATGTTCTTCTCAATATTGTTGTCATATTTTCTGAGCCCAACATTTGTACTCATAATTTTATCGAATATATCTTTGCCAGTTTTTTCAAACTCTAAGATATGATATTTTGAAATTTTTGCTTTTGTAGAGGCCACATTTCTGAGTAGAGATCTAGATTCATACAATTTCACTATTGAATTATAAGATTCAATTGAAAAATATTTCAAATATTTTTTTGTTAATTCAATTTTTCTACGTTTTATATTTCTTTGATATTTCAACCTTTGAAATACATATTTCCTAAAAATAAAGCAAAAGAAAATAAACAAATCTTAATTGCTGCAACTATATTATTATTCTAATCTTAGACAGCACAAAATATGCCAGAGCCATCCTGAATATGTCCAGGATGTTTTGGGAAGCATTCTTTAACATGAGTATATACTTTCAGAATGTTTTGTGCTATCTGAAATTAGAAGAATATACAATTATGTTGAAAAAAATTTGCAAATATAGAGTCAATAATATACTTATTTTAATTATATGTGTGTTGCATGCATACATCTTATAAATACATATTATATTTAATAAATAACAGAAAAACTCATATTTAATAAATAACAGAAAAACCTTTTTTTCACAGGAGCCATCTTTGTTAAAAGATCTTCCTTGCTTTTTTCAATATGTTATTTCCTTGCTCAAGACTTATAAATGCTGCACAATACTACACTGACTACTACAACTATAACCGCATACAGCGGAACGAAGATTAAAAAGAATCAACAACAATTGGTGATGCGATATAGGTTTTACGTATACGTTTAAATTTTCTTCAACTTCTTGTCACCTAAGCACACAAGTACAAAATGCTTACGCCTAGCCAAGATTTGAAAATATACAAGATGCATTTTATTGGCTGCATATTACATTGAGATATTGAGATGATAAGCAGCCAATGAAATGGCTCAGTGTCAATCTAATTATGGTTTCTGCACGCAGCGAAGAAACATTTGCCGCGCAACAAATAGTGACACGTTAGCCAATAAACGTGTCGTTCTTCCACAAGAGCTACAAATTTATTGGCCTTTACTGAAAAACACGTAGTTAATAAATTATTTTTTATTCGTAATTGTACAGAGGTTATAATGTCATGTTACTTACTCCGTTAATGTTTTCTTTTTATCCTTATTCTTTTTATTCTTATATTCATAAAAATTCATGCTACTCTTCAATGTGTTCTACCTAGGTTATAGCATTGCAGTACAGCTAAAACGAACAGACTAAAGTAAAATTTGTTTGTAAGACATAACCTATACAAAACAAATCGCTGTAATGTGCCAATGTGATTCTTATCGATAATTTTTTTTTTAAGAATTGTTACGTTATTCATCTGTGAATATGTTGCGAAGAACGAGCAGTTTATTACCATCAATCACCGTGAGTATCATATTCGTGTGAAGAAATTATCAACAGAAATAAACTCACCGATCAGTTTTCTGTTTTTGTTTTAATGATGCACATGATACTTTCATCATAATTATCTTCTTCTTCTTCTTTCAGACTTATGGGTACAAAATAAGTAACAGATATTTAAATTTTGTACCGGTTGTAGTGGAGCAAAGTGGACGTGGTGAACGAGCATACGACATTTACTCGCGCTTACTGAAGGAACGCATTATTTGCCTTATGGGACCGGTAAGAGATAACTTTTTATATCGGACGTTAGTTCGTAATAACGTAATTGTAAAATCACTCACCTGTTTTTCTCATAGATTACAGATAATGTATCCTCTGTGGTAATTGCTCAACTTCTCTTTCTTCAATCAGAAAGTAGTAAAAATCCAATTCATATGTACATTAATTCGCCTGGTGGGAGTGTAACAGCGGGACTCGGAATTTACGACACCATGCAATACGTTCTCCCACCTGTAGCCACATGGTGCGTAGGTCAGGCATGTTCCATGGCCAGTCTGCTTTTGGCAGCTGGAGCCAAGGGCATGCGTCATTCCTTACCAAATGCCAGAATCATGACGCATCAACCATCAGGAGGAGTGCAAGGACAGGCTACAGATATTCAAATTCAAGCACTAGAAATTCTCAAATTGAAAAAACAGATCAATGGATTGTATGTCAAGCATACTGGACAGGATCTAGAAAAAATAGGTATATGTCTATGTTATGATTTCTACTGTGGTATGTGCACATAACTTTACACACTTCACATCTTCACAGAAAGCAGTATGGAAAGGGACAATTTTATGAGCCCAACACAAGCCAAGGAGTTTGGTTTAATAGACAAAGTGTTAGCACACCCTATGCAAGAGGAAACAGCAGAAGCAGAGATAGAAAAAACAAGCAATATGCCAACTCAGCTTTGATTGTGCTGGACGCGATAGGATATAGTATATACAGTTTTTATTTCTTTGAAGGATGTATAAAAAAGAGAAAACGTACGTATCAATATTTAATAATAATAAAATATTTATAAAACAATTATAAACTATGTCCTATTCAACTGTGTGTGCACTTGGGAGTAATATATTTACCCTTCTTTTTCAAATTGGTGTATGTGTAAGATACACTAACTTGTAACAGCAGTATAAATGGATATCAATATAATATGACCGTTTAATCTCTCTTGTCGCACTGTATCTTCAAAACTAGAGGCAAGCACAATATATCGCTAATGGCAAGTGAATAAAACTTGCAACATATAGAAAAAAAAAAACTTATGTTCATCCTAAAGTGTACCATCGTATGTTTTAAGGTCCGCCTCTGTTGAAGTTTCATAGCCCAATATTCTCTTTTGTATATATAAATTTCACGCGTGTTTAAAATTTACTAATTTAGTTTAGTATCTCTACATACCAGTAAAAACCAATGTATTACATTGCTTTTACCTACCCTGTTCGTATAACCGTCATCTTAAAATTCTGTCTATCATTCACGTTACGGCGAATGTAATACGCACATATTTTTGCACTTCGTTTCTTCTTTTATCCTAACTTCAAATGCAATTTTATCGCAATTACATTGACAGTTAAAAATTGTAAAAAATCGTACAAGATAAAGATAATGGAAGACAAAGCCTTGCTTTTTTCCGAAAAAAAGTATATATACACACGCATAATTTGATATGTAAATGCGAGTGTGTATAATATCTCATGATGGCAGTTTTATATACTTAGTTCTTCTATATAATATATCAAAACATCCCATTTAAGATCTATTATCACCAGAGAGGATTGCTTTACAAGAAAAAGCTCCATAAAAGAGAAACGCTTCATATTAAAAAAATAATAAAGGGACGGAATAGATTGTGTCATAAAGCTGAGCCTTAACTAGAATTAAGTAGATCTGCTCATAAGAATCGATCTTCGTGACATCCGAAGAGATAGTTCCCTTCAGAGTTATCGTCATCCCTCGGAAAACCAGTCTCATGCGTTGTTTGTTGCGACAATCACGTTAGATCTTCACTGCGGACAGACCTGCGCGTGTGCGAGCATCAATATGTCCTTCTTCTCTTTTGGAAATCTAAGCTCCCGGCCTGCTAATCGCGCGGTCTCGAGTTCGCGCTCAGCTAAGGCCAATTCCATCGCCACGACACCGCCGCCGCTTTCATGCTCCCTGGCTACCCAATCTAACGCCATTTGGCTACGCATATCGTCGTCTAACGCGCGGTGGCTGTAATGCGCGACCACTTCCTGCCTGCTGCACTGCCTTTCTCGCATCGCCTTTAAAGAGCCGTTCCAGTGAAGCAATTGAAAGACCGTCATTAACTCTTGAAACTCCAACATCGTTCTGCCGCGATTGCACTCTAGCATAAAACGAAAAGCGCCTATTCCCGTGTTCGGATCTTCCTTCTCATCGCCGCTGCCCTAGAAACATACGTGTGTTTGAGCAAACGTTCTCGTCGTATTTCTTATCGTATAGGAAATAAAGTAGACAAGTCCTTGTACTTTATTTACTTGCGCTTGGCTACCGACACCGTTCGACGTCGCCGTGGGTTTCGCAAAACTAGCCCTAGCTTCCGCAACAGCTTTCTCAATGAAATCATCGGTTATCTTTCTCGACGGATGTTCGTTGAATACAGAATTCATTAGTGCAATTTTCGCTGCCGATCTGCGCGCCTCCGCTTTAGTGGGGCAATTTTGAAAACTTCCAAAGCAAGATCCTCCAGGGAGCGTCACGTAACAGACGTAAGGCGGACTCGCACCAGGGACAGACTCATAAATGACTAATGCACCATTTCTTAATTCTGCCCCTCTGCTCTGCTTCATCTGCCAAAACTCTTGCAGTGCCTCCACGACATTCACTGTTTGTAAAAAGTAAATGATATAACTGTTCATTTGATAAACAAAATTCAGATAAAAAATTTCATTATACCTCTGCCGTAGCCTTGAGAATGTTTCGCAAAGCTGTTGACGACTGCGTCCACAGCTTCTCTTAGAACTTGCTTAGCACGGGCATCTACCAGTCCACCTGTGACCCCCATGTTTTCAGGAACACGAGATTTTGTCTTAACTGGCATCATGCCCTGCATTACCCCTCAGAAGTTTGCATTCATTTATTCTGAAAGTATACAGTATTCTTTTAATATATTAATTCTCAATTTGACAGTATAGAGAAACAACTTTTGCTATATAATGTTTCTCTATTAATAAATTTTAATAAACATTACATAACATATTAAACTACAAACATATCTATAAATGTTTGTCAATCATCTTGATAATCAGCAATAGCTAGATTAATAGAAAATGATGAAAGTATATAATATCTATTTAATATACTATTTTAATTGTCAAATTGACATGGAGAAGCAACTTTTGCTACATAATATTTCTTCACTATATAAAGAAGCACTATATAGCATGAATATACCTGCAAAAGTCGGTAGATAACATCGTGAAAGCAATTAGCGACAAGTAAATAATGGGAAAATGCGCGTCACTTGAGATTCGCGAATCGCAGAAACAGCAGAAAGATTCCAAGAATACAGAGCTTTTTTTCGCAACGAGTACAAGTCGCTGTCATCGTTAACACTCGCGAGTTGCATCGTCGTGCGTGCGTCGTCGGTGAGGACGCGACGCGTACTCACCGAGGAATTGGCGAGACAATGCTGTTGCGAGCACACCGTGTGGTATCTTCCTGGTGACCGTCGACGACGTTCCCTACGGCGGGGTGCCGGATGCTGCGGGACAACGACAGCGGCTGGACGACGGTGGCATCGGGCGTGAGAAGGAGCCCGGGAGGTCCGTCCGGCCGCGCGGAGACCCGGATGCCCAGGAATTCGCGTAAATTACTCTCCGATCGGTGCGCACCGCGTCGAGCGCCGCGGGATCAAATTGCAAGACACATATAACGCGTTTAATGGCCCCGGATCGCTGACGATTTCCAGAAAACCAGGGCCGTGCGCGGCTCACGGGGACCCTGCACCATCGCTCTCGCACCGCGTCCGTCAGTGGGTCCGTCTGTCCGTTCGCCTTCGGGTTTTTCACTTTGTCGCCGAGGCTTGCCAACCGAGCGTTAAGTACCCGTGTCTTTTTTTTCTTCTAACAGTGCCGTAGTTTAGCGGCCATCGGTGCTCCGGCGATTTGTTCGTTTGCAAGAGACTCGCCGTTGCAACATGGATATCTGATAAGAGCACGAGGAATCAATTGATCGAATAAATTAGCAATTGTTTACGTTGCTCAACAACTTGTAGGAAGCAGCGACACGATGCCGTCGTATGAGAGCATCACGACGATAGTTTACAATGCTTTAGTTTTCGACAGGTGCGTCGATATCGAAGATCCCAAATTCGGAGAAAGGCTTCTTTTTGTACAGAGTAACACAAGGTTTCTCTCGCTCTTATCCCTCGCATGTTAATCTCTCGTGTGCGTGCATTATTACACGCACACCAACCCGCACCTCGTGTGTGTGCACCTGTGCACATTAGCGCAGCAACTTGGATAATTTGCGAACTAGACGTCTTCAAGTTCCTGCGAAGGGACTTGACGATGAACGCGCCACACCGCGGTCGCTCTTGAAACTTCAATGTATCTGCAGATAAAACAGTTGTTCTGTATTACCACAGAGTTGAACTTAAAAAAAACTATTATTTCGTAGTTTTATTGATTACTAATGTATCAAAATGGCGACGTACGATAAGTGAAATGAAAAGAAGATTTTATGGCGAATTAATTTTTTGGCGAAGAATATTTTTATGGCAAATATTATAAATGTTCGCAGTATTGCAAGTATTTTAGTATTTATCCTTCTCTTTTTCCTAGCATAGTTTAACATTATATTAATATATATCTTGGTGTAATTAGAGTTGTAGTTCTATTTTTTGCAATGTTATACGATAATAAACCTACCTGCAACCATTTTTGTAACTTAGAGGATCCCACAATTGTAACATTACATCCTACCATTTATACATCACAGACATTTAATTACAATTAAATCCAATTGCAAGCATCGCCTTCTTTGTCTCATAATGTGACACAATCATTCCCGCGTAATAGCTGAATGTAACAACGCAAGAAACATTTAGATGGGTTGAAGTCAGGTGAACGATCAGCTTGTGGCAGAAAAGTATCGACGACTCATTGATTGGCGTAATCCTCATGTCAGGAATCCGATCCCAGATCAGAAGTGTCGGCGCTTTCAGTCATGCCCGCATTTCTGAAATTACGGCATCGCGATGCTCTTGAGTACATATGGCGGGACATTCCTTACCTGCGGGACAATCGCCCGCCACGGAAGCAGGAAGAGAACCGGCTTGGCGCGCGCCAAGCCCCCCGACGATTTACGCGCGCATGTTTCCCGCGTGACGGCGGCCGGCGGTGCAACCGTGTGCATAGCTGCGTGTTTGTATGTGTACGACGGATCAGCTGAGTGCCAGCTGTGCCGCGCATCTCGGCCAATCAGCAGCCGGCGTATTGGCGATCGCCGCTTCGACGTTCCCGCGAAACGCCGTGCGCTCGCAGACGCCAGTGTTCTCTTCGCGGGAAAGTTCACCGTCCGACAGCGCGCGTCTTCGCGTTCCGCGAGTGATACCTGCCGATCGTTCCACATATCGCGGACAGCTGGCTGCGAACGCGAGTATCCCATAAGGTTTCCCCGTCGTACGACGTGCATATAAACGTGAGGAAAATCGCGAGAGCGCGAACCGCCCGGCGGAAATACTGATGTGCGTGACGCGCGGCTGCACGATTCCGGCGGGCTTTGCTACCTTCTGTTCGCAACTCCCGGAGGACGACGTACCTCGCCCTGACAACGGGGAACGCATCTGCCTGCCCGGGCGACGTCAACAATCGCATTTTGGAGGATAAATACGGCGAAACGAGCTGATCCAACGCGACACTCCGTCGCAGGTGCATCGACCTCGCACTCACGTTTGGACACGTGGAAAAATCGCATTTGGCACACGGTGTAAGAGACGCCGAGGATCCGAGGATTCGCGACAACATTGTATACTATGAGAATCTCCAAAATTTGCCCCCTTCTTTGAGGTTATGTACCACTTATAGAGGGCGTCGCGACACGAACAGGGGTTGGTCACCGTTTCGCGCGCTAGTCTCCCGCGCTTCGAGATCCACGTCCCTTATTTTCGGGGGATTATTGCGATTTTTCGGCTCGCATGCATCGCGACGCAACTTGCAAAAGAGCCAGATGAATTTCCCGAATGTCCGAATCGTCCACGGCCGGAATTTCTGAGTCGAAACATCGAATCAAAAGCAGCCAAGTGGACGTGCGTTAATGGCGATCGAGTGCGCGTAGGCTTCGTGTGGTCCTTCACTTTTCGGCGTTTCCCTGGGGAAATTATCGCAGCTGGATCGAGAAAAACACGTGGACGTCGGTTCCAAAGGTCTCCGGTGTCGGGGACGCGTGGAAAAAAATTATTCCAACGTCAAATATTTTTCGTACACGTTGGCAATTTCGCGTCAAGATGCCACAGTCTAGGTGAGTAATCGATGTTCCGTTCAGCGTTGAAATTCAGATATATCTCTCTTGCTTGGCACCTGAGGAATTCAGCGTACAATGAAATCGATTCGGCGCTCATCATTTGATCGATTAGAGATACATCTATCCCATTCGCGCTCGAACTTTGCGCCTATAACCTTTTTCACTGGCATGCATTCTTTCTCGGGACATTAGCAGATTTGTCTCTGTAATATAACGATTTATCATTCAGTGGCTCGTCAAATAGCGCTATTCAACGTATAAATCCGTAAGCCAATAGTATCTTGATCATAAACAATTTTTCACATTTGCTACATTCTCATGTGTTCGTTGGAAACCTTACCTGTTTCCTGTTGCGGTAGATGCTTGTCTCACCTGCTTTGTATGAAACGCCACAGTTGAGCAGCTTTGAAATATTGTGTAGTCGAGTAAATCTTCCTTTAATTGTTCAGTTTACAGGAGAAGAAGTCATCACAAACCTATCTTCAAGGAGGCAAGGCACAATCTTTAAAACGCAAAAGACGTACGACAGAACTCTCAGAAGATTCTGAAAACATATATCCCCCTAATAAAGTACCATCGTTGTCTCATGCTCCTTATACTGAATCCTGCCACAGCACACAATCAGTTGACAGTGCATGTACTCCTCAACATCAGACGTCTCCACTGAAGGAGCAGCAGGAGCCAGCTACGTGGTCAGAGTTAAGAACTGCAACTTGTTTCTTAACACCATCAGCCTCCAATAGTTCATCCAGTAGACCTAGTCCATTACCATCCATTCCATGGGCCGATGGCTCTCAAGTATGGTCTCACATGTGCCTCGGGGACCAGAAGACTCTAGTTCAAAGGGACCCACAGATGTTCCAGAGGCATCCAACACTGCAGCCAAAGATGAGAGCAATCTTACTGGATTGGCTGATCGAAGTTTGCGAAGTGTATAAATTACATAGGGAAACTTATTATCTCGCTATGGACTATATTGACAGATTCCTGTCCATACATCTCAATGTACCTAAAAATCAGCTACAACTCATAGGCATAACTTGCCTTTTCATTGCGTCCAAGGTATGTAAATTATCGTAAGTTAAATTGCAATGCAACGTACATGAGTATGTCTATGTTGAATGAGAATAGTTACAAGATATTTGAATTGTAGGTTGAAGAAATATATCCACCCAAAATCGCGGAATTCGCGTACGTAACTGACGGAGCCTGTACAGAGGAAGAAATTCTGGGAGAAGAGTTAGTTATCCTGAAAGGTCTTGGGTGGAATCTATCTCCGATCACTGCTCCGGGATGGCTCAACATCTACATGCAAATTGAATCGGGCGATTGGTCCAGGCCGAATACCTTCATATATCCACAATACGGTGGACTACAGTACTGTCAAGCGGCTCAACTGTTAGATCTGGCAACATTAGACGAAAGTAGTTTGAAGTTCCCTTACAGTCACATAGCCGCGGCGGCAATTTACCACACCCAAGGAAGGGAATGTGCGTTGAGAGTATCCCGATTGTCATGGGAACAGCTCGCTCCTTGTGTCAAATGGCTCGCAGCGTTCGCTACTACTCTCGCGGAGGAGGACGGCGAGTCTCTTTTGAGGTCTGCGATCATGTCCACGGAATCGCTTTCGGGATCCGGATTGAGGGCCACTGTACCTAATATAGTTGTGGACGAGTCGCATCGCATACAGACTCACGTGGTCGATCTGAAGATGCTTGAAAAGGCGCAACAACGATTAGTCGGAGAAATCCCTTGCGGCTATGTGAACGATTCGGAAACGAATATCGAGTCCGGTAGACAAAGTCCGAACGAGAGCGGGCTTTTGACTCCACCGTCCAGTAGTCAGAAAAATTCTCCAGTTCCGTCGCCGTGCCCCACGCCACAATTGCACCCTTATACGTAATTTAATATTTGCGGACACGTAATAACATACGATAAATTGTTATTTACTACCCATTCGTGAATTATAACTTTGTAATCACGAGAATGCTTATCTCTCTTCTTTAACGGGAGTGTGATTCAAGTACTCTGGAAAATGCAAATATGTGAGCCTTTTACATTAATATATATATATATATAAATTAAATAATAATTTTTATATATATTATTTTCGATAATTGCTTAGTTTACACCGAGAGGACTAAGCGCGGACTGACCTATACTGTGACCAATCGCAGTGTATTTTTACAAGAATAATCTGCCATTGGTCACAATATAGGTCAATCCACGTTTATTCCTCTCGGTGTAAACTAAGCAAATATGTTCATGTTATCGTAAATTATACGACGTTTCCTAGTTGCAGACGATCGAAACATAGTAATAGTAAAACAGGATGTTAAATAGTTTTTTAACGTGCACGGGACATAATGCAGAATTAATGCGACATCACGTATTTTATTACAAATGGTCAAGATAGTGCTTCGTGTGTCAAAGCATTTATGAACTTAAGATAGTAAACTTAAATAGAAGCCGTGATTACATGGTTAGCTTCTGTGATTAAGATCATCTTAGAATTGCTATCTTGGAGATGCGTAAACGTGAGAAAAAAATAATGTTAGTGCCTGCAATAGAAGTGTCCTTAACAAATTATTTCTACCTGATTTTAAGGGGGAAAGATATAAAAAAAACATTGTGAATAGTATTCTTTATATAACACGCTTTATTATAATGCAATTTATTGCGACGGCGCATTACCGAATTGGATGAATGTATTTTTATGTATATGTATATTGTAAAATTCTATATTAAAAAGAAAAAAAAAATATTCGTATTCTTAAATTGAGAGTGAATGGCGAAGGATGTATGATAGGATTGAGTGCGATAGTAAAATAATAATAATAATAAAAAAAGATGAAGCAAGACTAATAATCTTTAACGAGTTAAGCATTATAAAATTTTGTGGTGAATTTGCATTGTCCAGTATGTAATAATGTGGCGGTTTATACATATTTGTATGAGGAGTTTGACAATAAACATTTGTAAACTTACAACACTGAAAAGGATTGTTACCTTCGAAAACCCGTCCAGGATGACTTCGTTTGATCCATTAAATGATTAGAATCGATTATGTCAAAAAAGAATAAGATGCAAGAAAGATACAGAAAAATGAAACGAAGGAGGAAACTATATCTTCTGAAAGCGAATTTTCGCGCGCTTCTGCCGCATATTAACGATTCAACGGCCGTCTTCGATTTTCCTCGACATTCTCCGCCCTATTCCCGACAATAGGTCCTGAAAACAACGCAAACAGGAGAAAAGGATTCGCCGGCATACGTCCAATAGCGACGTTGGAGTGACCGAGCAGCGCTTTTGGGCGCGCGAATACGACGCGAGGCGTCCGGATTTCAAATTGAACGACAATCGATTAATATCGCGCGGCTCGATATGTTCTACCTTACCGACAGGTGGGGAACGTCCGAGTGGCGCCGCGCTCGCAACGCCGTGGAACACAGCGGCGCGTTCTGATTCGTCGCTGCGTCGCGTTCAAGTTATCAAACGACCGGCCGACCGTTAGCAAGCGAAAGGACTCTGCGACGAAATTGACTCGCTTGTTCGCGCGAACGCTAGATCGTGAAGATCGAACGTGGTCAGGCGTGCGCGAGGATACACGCGTTCATCGACTCGATCGCCGTTGATGTCGACGTTGTCGGACCTGGTGCAGCTGCGTCTCGAGTGACAAGTGCGAGTGTGAGTACGCATCTCGGCACGGATCCTCTTTGTTCACAGAGGCTGGGTGCAACAAGGAGTGCAAGTGCGAACTTGGTGGTCCTCGAATGTGTGTATGTGTATGTGTGTGTGTGTCTCGACTCTCCGTAAGTAAATTCACGTCTCGTTCATCCCCGTTCTTGCTCGTACGAATTTACTTGATCGAGGTATGTGCGAAGTTTCGCTCAAGTTTTTGGTTAGGGCGGGGGGGAAGGAGGTGAAAGAGCAACAGAGTCAGGGTGACTTTCATCGCGTTCTGATTGATCTAATTGACGATTAGCTCAACTGAAAGAGTTACCAAGTGAACGATAGAAGACAGTTTGTTGTTAAAATCAAAGAAAAAAATTCTCATTTCTTTGTTACGTGTATTAATACAACAAATCGCTTCCAATAAAGCACTGACAGCTCTATTTTGCTAAAGCATAAAGAGTAGTTATATTTTGGTTATCACTGGAAAATAATAATGATAAGTAGAAGTTGGCAGTTTCCGGTTTGTCGATTAAACGTCAATTAATTGCGGGTTCGATGAAAGTCAACGTCGTTTTGCCGCGATCTTGGTTTGTTTTGTCTCAGCCCGAGAGAGAAATAGGGTGGCGTAGAAGCTACAAACTGAAACGATCTGTTATTCCTCACAAACTTCTCGCGACAGCAAGCTCGATGCTCGGGGAGATCCCGCGTTACGACGTGCGAGATAACTTCACGCGAGTAACACGAGTGAGAATCAACAGCGTCAGCTCTTTTTATTAAAAATACACATTTTGAAGCAGATATCAGTAATCAGTTTAACAACAAAACGAAATATTTAGACATTACGTCTGATTTTTGTCAAATCATCTTTATAGAATCGATTTCTTATCAAGAAAAGAAACGACATTATCTACGGTATTTTCCGTTAGGAAACCGAGACAGACGAATTTCCGGCATTTCATCGAAAAGATCCAATTAATTGTCAACAAAATGTCAAGCCCGAGGAGCGCCGGTGGAACTGCTCGCGAAGGCAAGAGAGTGGTGCTGAAAGAAATCACCGCAAGTCTCCACAATTCGACACAGAATCTTCTCCCTCGACAAAAGGTATACTTTTCTACGAATTATCAAATCTTTCATTTTGCTATTATATGTATTTTCACCTTATATTGTGAGTGCAATTCAGAAAATCGTACGAGGGTTGCACGGCGAGAACGGCGTGCACTTTCACGACGATACTTCTCACGTTTGTTTGCGGCGATGTTAATTAGTGCGACTGTGCGAGATTAATTAAAACAGCAGCCGCGGCAGGCCGACCGCGTCCCCCATCCTTCTCTTATCGCGTCTCCGCCTTTCATCCTTCCTCACGCTCGCCTCTCTGTTTTCGTGTCTGACAGTCGCGGACCGAAGAATGTATCCCTATAAATAAACTCCGTATCTCCAGGAGTACCTTGAAACAAAAATAAGTTTCGCTTCCCGCCATGCGGGGAGTATTCCTTTGGCGCGCATAAGGAACGCGGATTTGGCCGTGCGATCGAGCTCTGGTCGCGTTGCAGCGCTAAATCCCCGAACGTTTCCTCGCGCGATACAGAAGAATTCGCGACTTAGATTTCGACGATCGCTTTCTCCAGAAATAGCCAAGACATTGTAATCTGTAATTCAAATAAATTTCGTTTAGCTTTCTTTCCCCGTGCACGATTTGCGAGTACTGTTATTAAACTAGTTCAAACACGATCTCACCACCTCGTAGCATATTTCAACTAGAATTCGTTTTAGATACGATGGGAAATTGATAAACTGTGATGTAACTCTAAAGAAATATAAGATTTTTATTAGGGGATGGTACCGTAGAAACATAAATGTGAAAAAAATTTAATGAAATTATCGGACACAATTGCTGTATTGGTCTTAGATATTAATTTAAAATATATTGCTTAAGAAAGATAAATTGCAAGAAATTTTCATCTTATTGTGCGACAGATTGATAAACTTAATCTAAAGGTAAAGAATATATAACCAGAGACTTTTATAGATTCCAACATAATCTAGAAAGCAATGTTTATAACTTTGTCAATATTAATTTACGTCAAAATTGAATAAAAATATAACTTTTTTAAATTAATTTTTTAGCAAATCGTACGTTCTTTAAGCAATATCTATAGGTTATCTCATTGCATAGATGATCATACATAATTCTCATACATAATTTACAATCTACACATAGACATAGACCATTATAATAAAAAAAAATTGCAAACGCCCAACCTTGATTGTGACCATTCTTTCCGCGACACATTGTCGCGTCACGTGCGTGGAGTGAAATCAAATTTGCCAAGCGGATATAGAATCGTCTTGTGATTTGATATGATGTACGCGAGTCGCATAAAATATGATATTCTACATGACATTGCGTTTTCCTAGATTGGATCTATCCAATTATGTTCCGACAAGATTCACGCATTGTATATTGTACAGCAAAATATTTATAGCGATAATCTCGGCGCTTTATCTCGCCTTGCATCCCTCTGCGTCGTGATTGCACACTCGCCAGTGTTGCAAAGCAATTTACCCATTTCATCACATCGCCCACATTACGTGAACATTTGCACGACGCTAATTCTGCATTGAATCGATTACTAATCTCTAATGAATTCCTTAAGCTTTCGCGCATATGAAGGATTGGCTATGAATTATTTCGATGCAAATTGAGACCTCCAGAAGGTAACTGCGAGGTTTTCGAAGCAGCATAAATTTTTCTAATTTTCTATTTTAACGATTATAGCTTACGACACGACGAAAGAGAGAAGAAATCGATTAGACGCTAAGCGAGTGAGCCAGACGTGCCGTTAGAAGAATAATTAGCGATATAAGTGATATTATCAGCGCACACTTTCATCAAGAGCCGTCCCATTGACGCTCTTCCGACGAGCCTCCGCCGTATTCTTCGTTCGCGATCATGGTGCACTTAGCGGATACTTGCTTTATCACGGGACGTTTCATTACCGAGTATTCCCGCGTTGCTCCAGATAGCGCCACGCCGCTCGTTCACACCGCTCTCACGCGTGGCTCGTTGGCCGATAGTCCTGTTCCCACCACTTCCATAGTTGGTGATCTTTGCGGCATAATGTCCGTACGGCGTGTGCGCGGCTGGTCGGTACCGCGGCTCGGTGCAGAGAATGTTAGTACGCATCATCGTGGCGTGGTGAAGACGATGTTGCTTGCGGCGCAGCCTTTGCCGAAAGTTCGATTAACGCGCGACAACGTCGTCCTGTGAGGCTCCTCACACGCCGAGGATCTTTCCGAAAAGGCTCGTGAAAGGTGAGGCGATCGCCGTTTATCTTTCCCTTTGCACCTACGGCCTGTTCCTCCTCGGCAGCGTCGGCTTCTTGCGCGTGCACATGCACGTACGTGTGCGCCGCGCTGGCTCGAACGTGTTGTTCCGACGACTACGACGGCAGCGGCGATAGTGGTAGTAGTAGTAGTGATTGGTCGTGGTGGTGGATGTCTGAAGTATTGACTAGGGAACGCGGGCGTTGAGCTATTATTAGAATTTTGACGAGAGATATCTGCCGTTGACCTCCCGCCTGGGCCGCGGGCCTTAATTTTGGGCCCGTTTCCGCGGAAGAGGTCCTCCACCTTCCGCTCTCGTCGGGACAACACGGTCGACCGTTATGGCTTTCGGGGCGCCTAGGAGAGCGTCGAATTCTGGAATTGATCGTGAAAGGCCTGGATTTGACACTTGCCGCGGTGTAGTCTTACCGCTCTGATCTTCTCGCATCGCTTATCGCTGTCACCCGTGATTATCCGTCTGCTGGTTATTTGTCATACGTGCAGTCGAGCGTGCCATTTAACTATAGCTTTGCAAAAAATCCACGCTATATGGATCACGCGTATCTGTGTGTCCGGATCTTTGTACCGTATAATTTCCTATCGATGACAAATTGGTTTCTTTTTTTTTTCTTATAATTATAGATATCAGATAGACATATATATGATAAGCCCCAACAGATGTCTATCAATCAATATGTTTTCCTCGCAAGGGTTAATATCCGATCCGATATAATGACGCAATATTGCCGCGATAAGAATAGTGCGCACCTACTTACGAAGGTGCTTGCACGCCAATAGCATGCGCCGTCTAATGTAGCTGAAAACCATCATCACTCGCGTCTAAGCGTTAAGTGGCACGCTTTTTATAAGAGAGAGAGAGAGAGAAAAAGAGTTTCAGAGAAAGGGTTTGTGTCTGACTTAGAAGAGGGATAAGAGACACACCCTGAGATAGTGTTGGAGCTCTCTTTCTCTGTCAACGCGATCAAACGAGAATGAGTCACTGCAGTAGTCGCCTTGCCGTCCCGATGATGTGTCAAGAGCGCGCCGAATAAGGAGACGACGCGAGAGACGCGTGTTTCGCCGTGAATTAGGCTCGATTGTCGTCCGTCCGTCCGCGCGTCTACCCCGCGCGCATTGTCTCTCGTTCGTTGACCTCTGACCTTCTCCAGGAAAAAGAAAAAGAATCAATTTTACATTCCGCCTGCGGCGATCGGCCTGTTTTTCGTCTTCCTAGATAGAGCAACACTGCAACAAGAATTCGACGCTCTCGAGCACAACGATCGCCACAGCAACGCGTTACGTTAGACATTACGTTGACGAATGCAATGAGTCATGGTCTCGATACTACGGCGGAAGAAGAGAGAAAGTCCGACTGTGTCGAAAATAATATCGGCGCATGGTCGGGAAAAATGAGATCGAAGTATCCGCGTCACGTCGCACCGACGGGGCACGTTCCGAGTCGCGAGGGTGTGTGTTGCAATGTCGGCGTCGAATTTAAAGATCCAGACTCGTGCGCCTCTACGGCGGAGGACAATCCGTGTCAAGGGTAAAAGCATAGAAGGGGAAGACTGTCTCACCGTGGGGTTCTGTGAACCCCGCGTGTAAATATGGGAGCACGTTGCGCGCCGGTGACAGCCGAAAGTGGAGGTCCCACGAGGATCATGGGGAATCTTCTGCCGAAGGTAACCCGGCGACTAGGCCGGCAGTAACGAGACGTCTAATTATTGTTTCCTCAATCGTTTCCCCACCTGCCGCACGTCACGCGAGAATTGTTTTGCTCGACGTGCAACGCAGCGCAAATACTCGGTTGTCAGTCAATTACCGCGTCCAAGATAAGATCGTTCATCGCGAACTCGTTGTGCATCGAGCAGTAAGGACGTCTCCTCTCCGTCCTTCCTTCCTGCCGTCGTTATAGTTTCGTAATGTTGGTTTATCCTATCGGTCTGTGTGAGCGAGCGCAGTTGTTCGCGCGTGGTCGGCCAAGTTGGATATCGTGTGCAGGCGTACGCTTCTTGGTCGTTAATTATACAGAGTGTCTGACGCTAAATGTCCCATACTTTGTGTGTACACGTGTATTAGTTCAAACTGAGCGCGAAGTTCCTCTACCATTTTGCAAACAACCATGTAAAATTTCGAGTTATTAATCAAAGAAGATTGGCTAATGATTCGCGATATGGCAGATGAATTACGATAGCGACGCCTGCTATCGTGTGCTTGTAGATTAAGTTAAACTGAATGAGAAAGTCCTCTGTCATTTTGCATATAGATTTTTTAGTTATTAAAGAAAATTTACGGATAATCGCGCTCAATGATGCACCAGTGTGTTCTTCGATTAATAACTTTAAATTTTACGTAGTTTGCAAAATGGTAGAGGAACTTCAGTTCTGTTCAGTCTGATCTAGTCTACGTGTATACGAAGTATGGAACACTTAGCGTCAGACATTCTATAGATAGACGTCACGCGAATGGAAGAACGAATAATTCGAATCGAACATTTATTCCGATCTTTCCGGCTGTGAGCGTTCCGGTGACCTTTCAACTTCGCGATCACTCGTGCTGCTCCGCACTTATCGAATACTTAATCGCAATGAATCCCCTCGATACCGTTACACTTCAGGCCGCGCGAACTGAAGACGTCTACAATTTCCGGCATCTCTTGTCTCCGCTGTAGACCAGCGTAAACCAGCCATGATGTGCTTTCCAGTGGAATACCTTCTCTCACTGTCGCTGTCTCGTGAAAACGAGCGGGACTGACGGTCCACGCTGGTGAAACCTTTCTCTCTTCATCCTCTATCTCTCTCTCTCTCTCTTTCTCTCTCTCTCTCTCTTTCTCGCCGTCTATCGGTGTCTTATAATTAGCCTGAGCGAGGCGCGAGGTGGTTGCGCAATTTGTTTCTCGAAAATCGCCAGACCCGCTGTCAGCTGATCTTCTGACGACGTAGTCGCGAGGCAGTAAACGCCAACGTCTCGCGGACTACACGTCGCCTGCGACTTCGGCATGGAGTACATCAATAGACTTCTCCATCGTTCCACAGCGAACTCGAGAGCGTCTCCGTCGCCCACGCCGACGGTATATTGCGTCGTACACCTTCGAGCGGGCGTTTCCTGTCAAACATTCCTCGCGATCACCCGTTAAATCACGCGACTCAAAGGTCGTGGGGAGCCTCTCTCAATGCCGACGGATTCGGAGAATTCCCTACGTTCCTTTTTTAAAGGAGATTCTCATTCTCACGCATTTACCACGAAACGTGCTCGGCGGATACTTCATTCAATTCCGGACACGGTGAACTCCCGTGAGGCGTTCTAATGCGTCTTATATTTTCAGAGCGGCGGCAACGACAGTCCTGTGCCGAAGACAGCGGAGCATGAGGTCAAGGTTCGTTTTGCCCGCGAATTCGCCGACGTAGGATCAGCCGTCACGTGCTTGGTTCCGGAGAGCTTGTCGTCGGCCAGCAGCTTCCACAGCCTCAGCAGCACCCTCAGCACCAAGAGCAGCAGCGGTATATGCCCGGACTCGTCGTTCGACACTCCAGATGACATCGCGAACACCTCTTACACAAACTCCAACATTCCCGGCGTGGAGGACCTGATCCTCGGGTGCGCTGAAATTCGCTTGGGAAACGAGCAGATATACGTGGACGCGCCTGACGTCTCGCAGGATCTGAATCTCAGTCAAGACCAGACCTTCACGTCCGCCACGGACGAGTCACAGTTTCACACGAGCGATTGTTCTCTCACCGAGGACTTGCTGAAGCCTAACACCACCGTGATCATCGGTAATGAGTCGCAGGTGATCGAGACGAATTCCCAATCTCACAACACGACGCACGTGTCGTTGAATCAGACCCATACTTCGGCGTCTAGTAGCACGCTTTCTGCTGATGATAAGCAGTCCGTGAGCCCCACGGAAGAATACGTACCGCAGGCAGAAGAGTCAATCGAGAGGTCTGTTCCGCCGCAGGAAAGTGATGATACAACGAGTGAGGCTGAGACATGCAGCATCACGACTAGTACGATAAAGGATTCATCAGCTGCGAATAATGTGGATAGTGATCAGTTGGATGTAACAACCGCCATTTCACCAGACAATTCGTTCGCTAGTGCGGCCACTGTTAATGAAGAGCAAACGGTAGAAAGTGCCGAGACATTGTCGTCGGAAGATTTCGAATCGTGCGCTACCCATATTTCCGCTCCGTCCACATCGGAGGTTCTATTGGCGCAATATGCGGAGGATCCATATTTGTTACCCAATATATCTAGCGTATCGTCACCCTTAGAAAACACCGATGATAAATTGAAAGATAATAGTGCGCAGGATTTACCGGGACCCGCAAAAAACGCATCAGCGCTGGCAGCGTTATCACCTGCTGATGATACCGATCGAAGATCATTAACGCAGGTAATTGTAAATAGCTCTGATGCTCAAGCAGAAAAGAGCGAAATTGGCAAGGAACAAGGTTCTCCTCAGTTAGATCAACAAGAGAACAGCATTCAGTTATTGAGCAATATTACAGAATCGGGAATATTGGAAGTTCAAGAAAATCTGCAGACTAGCCTTGACACGCAAAATTTAGAAGTAAATAATAGTGCAGCATTGAGTGAAACGCAAACTTTTGCACCTAAAGAAGATATTGCCATATGTAACGAGGTCATAGAACAACAAGACCCGTCAGAGACTGTAATTATACAAAAGGACGAAGATTTTGTGGAAAATACAACTTCAACGGTTGCAAAGAAGGAGATATCCATTGATGAGACTCTCGATCGTACGCTTACGTTACAAGAGTTCGATGTAGACTTCGCGACCGCGTCGATTGAAGACCAGTACTTAAATTTTAAACCTCAACGACAGAGCACCACGTTGACATTATCCACGGAAAAATCGAGTTTTGAGGAATTTAAATCCACAGCGGAGGAAGTTACTAATGATCTGCTCAATTCCTCGCTGGAGCTCGCGGAGGAAGCAAATACGTTTGTCAGTGCAACATCCACGAGTAAGTGCAAGTTTCTCTTTAGAAACTTTTTAAGTAAACACATGTGAGATATTTATTGATCGAGTGAATTTCGCTTTACAGTTTTTCAAGATCCCTCGACGTTTGATTTCTTGCTAGCGCGCAGTAACTCCAGCCATCCAATAGATCGTCTTAGAAAAGAATCTTTGTACGTTAAGTTTGACCCATTGGTATCGAATGCCATTATGTTGCCTCAAGGGAACGCTCAACCGATTAACGAAGAACAGAATGACAAAAACGAGTCGCCACTCCCTAACGTTGTTACACCAAAACGTAATCCTGCCATAGCAGCTATAGACAGACTGCTCTTTTATAGCCCTCTGCCTAGTGGGACGGTGCAGAAGTTAGAGGAAGCTCAAGAAAAAAATGTAAGTTAAAATATATCTGCTCTTTCTTTTTTAATTTCCAGTCGTCACACGCACAGTTAATATGTACATTAAATATATATTTTAAATACACTATCTTGAGTCTATCGTTAACAAGAAGAAATTTTTCCTCAGGAACAACCAGTAGAAGAGCCTAAATCCGACGCACCACTTATTGCCGATATAAATATAGCCGAGGAACTTGGACTTGTAAAGTCGACGGTTCTACGATTAGAGGAGGAATTAGACAAGCAAAAAAAATACGCAGCAGAATTGGAAAAGCAAAACGCAACCTCCCAAGAAAAAATGAATAAACTGCAAGCACAAGTAGCACAAGAAATAAAAATGAAATCTCAGATGAGGTAAGCGATTTTTTTTTTTTTTTTTTAATAATAAATTACGTTTAGAGTCAATTACATGTGAAAATAATGGCTCTAGTGTCGTCGTGGAAGAATACGAGAAGTCGATTAGCAGATTACTTACCGAGCGGGAGAGGGATCGCACGAACTTCGAACAAGAGAAGGCGAAACTGCAAGAAGAGCTGCAAGCTACGAATCGTCATCTGACTAATACGGAAGCGGCGTTCAATGATGTACACCAAAAATACGAGAGGCTCAAAGGGGTTGTATCAGTGTACAAAAATAATGAAACTGTATTAAAAGAAAGTGTACAGGAGAATGTAGATACTATAAAGACGTTGGAGACGCGGTATGATCAACTGAAGGACCACGCAATGGCTCAGCTAGAAAAGTATGCGATCGAGGATCCTTGTCATTTTATTTATAAAAAAAGAACTTCGTTACTTATCAAAGGCCTCCGGTATAAAAGCCATTCCATAATTAGACGGAATTTTTTTATAAAAAAAAAAGACAAACTATAGATTTCTCCTGCGGGGGATATACGCCGTCTCTTGCGTCTCTCGAGGAAATAAATATGTTCTTTCTAATTTTAGAGCTAATCTGGAGTTGGACGGAATACGAAAGCAAAACGAAGCGGAGACGGTGAAACTGCATGCGATGATAAGAAAAGCGGAACTCAAGAGCAATTCGCTCGCGGAACTTGTGGAACAGAAAACCAAGGAGAACAAAGAACTCGCGAAAATTCTAGACGAGGTTATTGCCAGGGTCGGTCACGGAAATCAAGAGTGAAAATAATTATAACGAAGTATCGCGATTAGTCTTTATTTTTTTACTCGTCCTCACTGTCTTAGATATAACTATATGTTAGATGTGATTGATGTATGTATACATGCGTTAATTTGTCGAATTTTTAATTGCAAATTTCGTTTCACTTCGAAAGAGCGACTTTTATTAATTATTTATAAGTTGTGATATATAACTATTTTAAAGCTAATAAAATTATGCATATTAAAAACACGCTCTCGCTTTTGTATGGTTAAAAAATATTTAATACCCTCCAAAATGAATGTAACAGCATACAAATCCCGTTTTTAGATCTTACATTGTTACTATGGTACACATTTCATCCTTTCCTAGATTATTTTATAGATTAAATTAAATAAAAGTCATAGTGTGTAAAACACACGTCGGCTAAACTTATAAGTAACCATACGTAGTCGCTTGATATCCACTTCGCCGAAGAGAAAATTTCGGACAATTTTCCACATTTTACTACTTGTATCGACAAGAACTGTCAATCCGTTGATCTAGTGTCTATAAGGAACAGTACGTGATGCTTAGCTAATTTCAACATACGTTCGCTTGTACTACCAGGTTTCCGCGGGATATTCTTATTTTCGAGATCAGGCATAAGTTTTTTTATTGTGCGCGCCAGATTCGCAGCGTATGGCTTAAATCTCGGATGATTCATACCGATGCCTTTGCTTCGTAATGCCTCTGCAACTGCCCAAAGTAACTTCTGAAAATAAGTAAACCAAAAAATTAGCATCGAGTATCCATCGAGTGTACAATAAATATATCGAAGCCAGCAAAAGAGACGACATACTTTTCTGTGTACATCGCTGAGTTCGTTTCTTTCTTGATTAAAAGACATTTCATTCTTTAATAAAATATTACTCGATGAATGTCTATCCCATATAACTTTCGAGCTATTCTCTAATTCGTGCGTGCAGTCAAAAGACAAACTCTTCGCCCACTTGATTCGTGGTCCTTGTAGTTCCTCGTCACACTTTCTTTTTCTGCTTTCTTTCAAGAGTGTCTGTTCCGTATTGTCGGACTCGGTTTCCTTCTTGTGTGTCGGCGGGAACAGAACGCGTTTGATTTTAAGAGTATCCGCATTGCTTGCATTTAATAATTTACTGGGACCAGCGTGATCCGTGGGAGGGCTTTGAAATAACGCGCGTCTCGAAGTTTCCAGCTTAGATTTACGCGGACTCGACCCGTCCAACGTTAATCTCCGTGTCACTCTCTTCAGTGCCGAATTTCTCGGACTTTTGCCTCGTGGGCTCTTTCCTCGTGGACTTTTACCCCGTGGACTTTTACCTCTTGGACTCTTACCTCTTGAACTCTTACCCTTGGGACTTTTTCCCTTTTTACATATAGGTTTCCTAAATTTTAAGAGTATAAAATTTATCCTTCTATTTTTTTTAATGCCATAGTATTTCCTCCAACACGCACCTAATCTGTAACATTAACTGTCTTTTGTCGGTGACGCCCAATCCTTGTAAATTAGCACTAGAAAAGGTCCTGCGTCTTCTGGCTAAGTATGTCAATCTTTTTCCCGGGCTCTGACCGTTCTCACGCTTGGCCAGTAAACTTCGTTTTCTCGGACTTCCTGTTGGCTGTTTCGAAAACCATATATTACAAGTTGACTGTGTTTCTGCTCCTATGTACCTTTCACATAATTTAATTGTTAAATTCTCAAATTCTTCCATAGCCTTGTTTCTGTTGTAGCTGAGAAATATAAAAAAAGAAATATATATATATATAAATAAGGTATAGAATTATATTTTTAATATTTTTAATAATATTTTTAATAATTAGAAGTGTTAACATACTGTATGCCATGGAATTTATGAGAGAATGCCTGAGGCCATGTTAAAGCTGTAGTTTCGACTTCACTAATTGTGTGATATAGGAGAGGAGATTGTTTTTTAAATACATTTGAGTTATTCTCAATTGATGGAACTTTAATTGTCTGTATCATTCCATTTATTGAACTTTTTGTCTCCTCAGGAAGATTGTACTGTAGACTTAAATTATCACTACTACCATTATCATTGTTTACATCTAATTTCGTGCTATCTGTATTAATTGATAAATCACAAGCATTAAAAGCATTTGTTAAATTCCTCGAAGGACCCTTTGTACATTGATAAGAAATATTTCTATTAGTTACTTCCGAAGTCACTTGATTCGTAGGTTTTACATTCCTTTCAGACTCTAAACTTTCATTTGGCAATGGACAATCAATCCAGAATAATTGACGGTTTTCATGAATACGTTGTAAAAAATCAGAACAATTGCTCTGACATATTGTATGTTTTGGTGGTGGTGGAACACCACTTAAAAACTTATTAATTCTAGCTAGCAGATAATTATCTGATTTCACAACCAATTCAGCTTGAGAAGGTTTCTCAAGGCTAATTGCTCCTAACGCATGGTCATTGGATGATGTGGTATCTTTTTTATCATCTACCTCACTTTCCCTATCACTATCAAACATTTCAGGACTAGAGACATTAGGGAATGTCCCTGTGATTTGTGAGTTATAATTTGGACTGGCAAAACAGCAATCCATGGCATTCTCTAAAAAATAGAAAATATTAATGAGAAATCTTTTGTGAGATAATAATGAATATAACAACTACACATGTGCACTTATCATGACACTAAATCAAGGATAACCCTTATTTCATAATCATGTATATGATTATATATGTATGATTATACATGTATTTAATTATACATATTATTTTTTCTATTGTAATAGCTATGTACTAAATTATATATAATACTATTTTGATGATATTTAAGATACATACTATGGAGCAAAAATAATTTCTACAACTTATAGAACAACAAATAACTGTATTCATTCTTTATCAATCATCCAAAAGTCTCAATGTTTATTTATTAATTTAATATCAAATACTGAAAATATTCACACGCATAGTAAACAGACTCCATTATGTTTCAATAGAATTTTCTTTGTGAAGATTTATGAAACATACCAGGGGATTTACTTTGACAACCGTTAGTTATCGAGTTAATAATAGTCTGCCATCTGACAACGGGCCAACAGCAGCAATAATTGGCAAAAAAAGGTATGTGTGTGGCCAACTGAATTTAACCTAACTTAAAGGAGTATCCTTGAATCTCCTTCATTCATCCGCATAAGTCGTACACGAGGTTCGTTAACCTTTCGCGAGATGCATTAATTTTATCGGATAAATATTTTACATAATCTCTTTATTGTAAAATTATCAATGACCTGCGTCGTGGCTAAATAAACATAAAAATCGCTCTCCCTCTCATTCACTACACACGGGTAAAAATTCAAAAAAGTAATCCAACGGTTATGATCAATCAATAATTTGATCTTTGAGACTTTTGACTGATATTAAATTACGAGTTTATTTCCACGCGAGACCGTGAAAAAATGCTTATGCAAATACATATATAAGTATACATTCACATTTACTCACGTTCCAATAATATTGACAGTCACGAGAACCTTCTTTCTCTTATTCTTTTTCTTTTATAGAAAATTATCAATACTCTCTAGAACGCAACATTAATTTTCCGTCCAATAATCAGCACTGACCACGGGTCAAGCTTGTTTGTGTTTCAAATCCTGAAAGATCAGGATAATCATACCGTTGCACACTCACAAGCGCTACATCCACAAGTAGACACATACGTTTACTCTTTTCAGCTGCTATGCGACTACGTCGACATCATCAGAGGCTTTTACGAGGAAGCGCAGCTGTGATTAACTGTAACACTTCGGCTAATTCCGTGGCACGTTCGGATATATTCGGGATTTCACCTGTCACCATACCGTCTCGTTAAATAAATTCTATAAACGTACCTTTAGGCTGCGTTCGGAAACATTACCCAAATGTACCCGTTGCGTTAGAGTGAGCGAAATACAAGAGTGAGATAAAAAGAGAGGAAGAGTACTCGAGTAACGTTTCCGAACGCAGTCTTAAATAGGAGCGTCGAGCGTTAAAGTGTTAGCCAATCAATGTATCAAGTCCCAGAAGTATACTTATAGTTCTTGCGGAAAGTGACATGTTGATTGACTACCGCTTTAACGCTCGATGCTCGATGCTCTCATGTACAGGCACCTTAATAGTTACTTTTCAGCAAGAAACATAAAGTCGTTTCATTGGCTAGATATCATCTACAAATTATGTTTAGATAACATCTAGCCAATGAAACGATTGCGTTTGTCTAGACTAAAGCTAATATCACATGCATCGTACAAGTATTGTCGAACGTAACGATTGGCTGGTAGATACAATTCTTCTAAGATTTTTAACTTTTTCTTTCATAACTTTTTGCAACTTTTCTGCTATTGAGCTAATTGCATATTTTACTGGCTCGAATGGTTCGACTGGGTTAAGCCACTCTGGGTTATTAAACCTACGTTTATTGGTCGAACAAGTACTTATAATTTTTATGATTGGCTAGTAGAGACTTATTCGCTCTCAGACCGATTAACCCAGGGCCAGTCGAACACGCTATAAGTTTGTCTTGCTTTAGGTTAGTCCCGAGCCACAATAGGTGTAGTAAACTTTAAGCCTTAAAAAATTGACCAATCACAGTCGATTATTCTTCTCAAATTTGACTATAATTGATCAATTTCTTAAGGCTGAAAGCTTACTACACCTATTGTGGATCGGGACTAATGGCTCTCGCAGCCAGTGCGATGCGCGACGCGACACACGATATGCGACGAGCGATATCCAATGAGCGTATTGGTATTCCGGAAAAGCTGTATGCTCATTGGATATCGCGCATCGCATATCGCGTGTCGCGTCGCAAATCGCGCTGGCTGCGAGGCCATAAGACTGCGTTCAGATTCCTTACCTTTCCTAGAAATGCTATAGTATATGTAACATAGTGCGCGTTCAGCGGAAAAAGCACTCAGTGAGCAGTCAGCGATTATTGGTTCTTACTGTTAGATTCCTAAATCTAGACCAATTACTCAATAGTTGTGCAATTGTTGTGTCCGCTGAACGCATCCATTTATTATGGTTGCTTTCCAACAAGAGACACAAGTCGACACAAACATTATTTTATCTTTGTTCCACATTTAGTGAGTAACAAAGATAGGAACAGAAAAATTGCAATAATTTTTTCATAAATTTTTTGCAACTCATTTGTATTCAATGGCCCATATTCTGAAATCTCTTTTATCGATAAAAGTGGCTTAAATGTAGCTTTTCAACCAATCAAGTGGCTCCCAAGCCTCTTTTGTAAAGACACTTTTATAAATAAAAGAGGATTCAGAATATGGGCCAATATGTATCGTCTCTGTCTCTCTCTCTTTCTCTTGTTTCCTAATCTGTAACAAACTATTAGCTCAACGTGTTTTGAAAATATTAGAATCGATAAAATATGAACATATCTAAATATTATTTCAAGTATACATTATCTATATATTGATTGATATCGACAGGCACGTTGTAGACTGATATTTTCAGTTCAGGAGGTATGTACGTACAACAATAGTATGTCAGATGTCAAGGGAACTTTCGCACTTCCAAGTAGTGCGATTTAATATTATATCAAACGTACATCCATTTTATGTCCAATGTTGAGTAATTTGGCAAAAATAAAGTAGCACTGCAATTTGTGTAACATGCGAATTAAAGAAATAAGTCCGAATTTTTAAATGATGTGTGTGAATGATTTTTCGCTTGCGCAGTACAACTTGGTGAATTTCGAGTATTTTGGTGATTTACATTTTGCTGCATTTTAATTTATATAATGTGCTGTGAGAAATAAATAAATTTTATATTTAGTAATATAACCGCGAAGAAACGAAAAACATCAAACTGTGAAATGCTTCTTGATTCATCCTATTATTGTTATTCTCGCAAAAGTTACACTGCGCCAAACCTTGTCTTTTTTAAGGTTGGGAAATATGATTATTTTATTATGCGCGAAAAGAGAGAACTGTGAACAGAAAGAATTTCTGTGAACTGCTAACAGCATAAGTGACTTTCGATTTTATCGCAACAGACTAATCGTCGGTCGTCACTGATGCGGGCAGCGAATTTTTGTCGGTACGTGATACAAGACATGTTATCTTATGCATAGTTCCACGCTTTGTCATCGCCTATATATTACGACGTACTGTGTAAAGTAGCGTCGTCAGTCGTTGTGTGAACGTACGACATATTGTGTTGTATTTCGTAGAAGAACGATAATTCTTACTTATCTCGATAATGTGATAAGATGAAGTTTTATAAAGTAGTAGTGACAGCTTATTTGTAAAATGATTAAATGTTTTCGAGAGTCATCTTCAATGAAATAACTTCCGTAAGTAAAATATATAATGATTATTTTATTACATATATATGGACTATATATATATAGTCAATATATAATCAAATATATTATCACGTATAAAAAATCTATAATACAGTCGCAGTTATATTTTAAAGTTGTAGTACTAGTCTGTGAATCTATTATATATTTATTTCTTTCACGTAAATTTGTGAAAAATAAGACAAATTCAATAAATTCAATAAAACTTTGACAGTTTTGTATATGCTGTCTCTTTTTGTTGTTTCAATAATAACATTGATCCAAATGGTAAATTTTAAATGTCTTTGTTGCCAAGTATATGTTGTTTAAATATATCAAAATTGCTCCTACTTTCTTATTAACTTAGTTTCTTATCTTGTTGAAGATATTTAAATCAATATTTTAATTATCCAGTTTCTTTTATAACATGGTTCCAGTTCCTCACTATAACTGTGATTTTTTTAAAGAGTGATCTTTTTTTGCATAATATATTAAATTTGTAAAAATAATTCTTATCAGTAATTAAATATTATTAGATGTTACCACAGGCCTGTGATATAATAAATAATGTTTGTCTAGGCAAAATTTATTATGACAACAGTGATATTCCATATCTAAGGAAAAACAGATAAATGGAATGAAATTTTTATATAATAACACAAAAAACTATTGAAATAGATTGAGCATTTCTACATTTTCTTGTGTACAAGGTCATGTATAAGACATTTATACAATATATGTTTGAAGTTGTAGCCAACATAAGTGCACACTTCTAATAATTTATTCAGAAGCTTCATGTACTTTCAATGACACACAGCTATATACACTATTCATAGATTGGATTCATAGATAGAATACTGTGTTGATTACTGAAAAACTTCTTTACAAAAGGCAATATAAAAATGGCTTCTGGACTAAAAATTTTTATCTTATTATTGTATAAGGATTTAATAGTACGCATGAGACACTGGCGTATGATATTATTTTTACAAACATTGGTACCTATTGCATTATTTTCATTATTACAAGCTGTGAGAGATTATAATACTCAATCACCAGTTAGTGTAACAGAAAACACATACTATCCTATACAAACAAAGGATGATTTAATGAGTATTGATAATTCCTTGATCAAATTATATTATTTGCCAAAAAATGACTATACAAATGATATTATGGAATCCACAAGATATTGTCTCGGACTCCTACCTGAAAGTAAGTTTAAAGTATTTTATATTTTTGAGACATAAGTAGAGAATTTCTTAAATTTTGTCTTTCATATATAAATATATCAATATAACTATCATTCTTTTTTTTATACAGATATGCGAGGTTTCTTAAATGAGACTGAAATGATAGATACTTATACATTATCCCAAGCTCAAGATCCACTAATATCTGCTCTGGCAGTTGTTTTTGAACAATATAAACAAGATACTATAAAATACAAAATTAGACATTCTTGGAAGATTCCATCTAATTTACACCAAACTATAATGGGTGAACATTTGGGTGACACAGCTACTGTATATTTTGATATGATCCCATTTGTGCAGGTCCAAATGTGTGTAGATGAAGCTTTTATAAATGAAAAAGCACCAGATTCCATGTCAAATATAAAGGTACTGCAAATATTTTCAACAAAAATACATAAATATATGTGAACAATTTACAGCCACGAAGTATTGGAAAACATATATAAAATCACTTTGGAATTTATGCTTTTTCAGATGTCAATACAAAGAATGCCATATCCACCACATATTAAAATAGACGCTAGTGATACAATATTACGTGATATGATTGCTACATTTGCAGTTATAACTTTTGTAATTCCACTTTGTATTGAAGCCAACTACGCATCCCAGGAAAAGTTTATTGGTGTAACTGTTAGTATATAACTTCTGCTTGTATCTCACATATTTCTGCTTATATCTCATATATTTCTGCTTGTATCTCACATATTTCTGCTTGTATCTCACATATTTTTTAAATACTTGTAATTCTTAACAAATTAAAATGTTACATCTTATTGTTTGTAGGTTTTGATGGCAATGAACGGAGTTAAACTATTCTACAATTTATTAAGCTGGCTAACTACAGGGATATTATTTAGTAATTTATATATAATACCAACGATCATACTGTTTAAGAATAGTTTTAATAAAATAGATGTCCTAGCCTATTTGCACTATGGAAACGTATTTATATTTTGGCTTCTATTTACTGCAAATATTGCTCACCTTATATCTTTTGGTATGCACATTGCAGCATATTTTTCAAAACGTAAGTAATGTCTTATAAAATAAGTAAATTTATGTTAATATCATGCAAAAAATTCACTATGATAAAACGATAATATCTTTGATATTTTATTATATACTTAATATCTTTCTTTATACAGCACGTTTTGTGACAACTATCTTATCGATTACCTATATAGCGGCATTTGCACTTCACAGTAATTTGTGGAGAGCAGAAATTTTTGGAGTTATACCATATTTTGGTATAATATTCCCAAATATTCTGTTCTATAGATTGTTCGAGGAATCAAATATATATGAGAGTAAACGTATGTAATTACTTACCAGCTCTTTTATATTAATTTTATCTTATTAGACAGATTTTGAGAAATTGTACCATCATAAAGTGTTTTTGTCTCTTTTAGAAATTGGCATTCAGTGGGAGAACTTTTTTGTTCCCGGAAATATGGCCTATGGTACTGTAGGAAGTATAGGTTTTATATTACTCTTTTCAATTTTGGGTATTCTGATACATTTTACACTCGCGGTTTATATAAATGCTGTACTCCCGGGTAAATACGGAGTCCGGAAAGAACCATTATATTTTTTGAAGGTAAATTTCCATACAAAAGTATTCTTAATAGAATAGAAGTAAATATAATGTGTATATAGAATATGTTATATAATTCTTCATATAATATTATTACTTTATAGAGTATGAGAAAGAATAAAATATCTCTCGATGAGGTAGCTAGCGAATTGGATTATGATAAAATAACCAACGAAAATTTTGAGCCAGTATCAAGTGGCACGCTTACACCTGGAATACAAATACGTAATCTTAAAAAGACTTACACAACATGCTGGCTACGAAAATCTGTAAGTTTACGTACCATAGATAGATATTACATTTTTTGCAATTCGTAATTAATGTTAAGTTATTTGATTTTAGCAAGTCCACGCGTTAAAAGGGATTTCTGTTGACTTTTATAGAGGAGAAATTACTGCCCTGCTGGGACACAATGGGGCGGGCAAAACTACGCTTATGTCTATATTAACAGGTATTGTGTCACAAAATAGTATACTAAGGAAACATTATTTTTGTTGGGACTGTATATTAGACTTATTTGACAGGTGTGACCAGCCAAACAGAAGGAAACGTATTTATAAACGGCAAAAATATAGTAGAACATTTAGAGACTATTAGAAACAATTTAGGACTATGCCCCCAGGAAAACATGGTTTTCCCAGATTTAAATGTATTTGAGCAAATAGAATTTATCGGCATGGTAAGAGAATAATAAGATTAATATCTGTGAAATAAAGTATGTGAGACATGTGTGTTGACTATGTATGACTTGAACATAATGACAGTTAAAAGCTGAGAACAAGACCAGGCAGCAAATCAAGAAGGATGTAGATATTTTGCTTGCTAAACTGAAGCTTTCTGAAAAGAGGGATTTTCTCCCTAGCAAACTTTCCGGTGGTCAACAGAGAAGATTATGTCTTGGGATGGCACTCATTGGCGACGCTAGCGTAAGTTCTGATCTAGATATATGTATATGCATAACGAGTGTGTTGTATTACATTAATCCTTTAAAATACTTTGTTTAGATCATCATTTTGGATGAACCAACATCAGGAATGGATCCTGAAACCAGAAGAGATACATGGGATATAATATTGGTAAGTAAGTTTATAAACTAAAATACTTCAACAACAATTCAACTGTTATAATATCTTATATTTTTTTTACTTTCTTTTGCCAGAAATTTAGAGGAGAAAAAACAATATTGATTAGCACGCATAATATGGAAGAGGCTGACATACTTGGCGATAGAATTGCGATAGTGCATTCAGGTCGCCTTAAGAGTTATGGCACAGCGATGTTTCTGAAAAAACAGTACGGTAAGGCACATATTTTACACTTATTAAAATTTAGCGATCTATAATTCGGACCGCTGCTCTTTGTATTACAACTTCATTCTATGTGTTAGGTCATGGGCATGTGGAAATTACTTTATCGGTCAAGTCCTGGTGTGAACCAGAAAAAATCATGAATAAATTTGACTCGAGAACGCAACAACTCAGTATTGACAGCGAGAAGATTGTTTTGAATGTACCATATAATGATTCTTTACCACAATCGCTAGATAGCGTAGAAAGTGAAAAAAATAAATTGGGAATTACTGGGATAAGTGTATCATTGATTACTCTGGAACAAGTATTTCTAAAGTACGCTTTAATAAAAAAAAATATATAATAATATTTATATTTACAAGCTATTTATCGCATCTACTTCTACTATTACTTGTTGTAGGATCGCAAAAGAAGATAATGGAAAGCATCTTAATGAGTTATTTACAGCGCCATTAGATAAAATTAAAGGCAATGAGCTATACATACAATCAATATTAGCGTTACTTTCCAAAAAATTCACATATACGAAGAAAAATTTAAGCAACTTATTGATGATCGTATGTATTTTTCTGTCTTAATACTTTACAATAATGCCACAAAGATAGTTTATGTATTACGTTATTAATATTTGCCTCTGAAATTAAGAAGTTGCTTTTATTATTAATATTCTGCCGTTGATATTTTCAGCTGATCCTTCCTATCTTGTCGGTATTTTTAATAGCTTTAAGTCACAATTTACCGGATGATCGCACGGACGTTGTTCCGTTGAAACTTGACATGTACAGGTATCCTAGAGCTATATATTCTTTTGAGAATGAAACATTCGATCAGATATATAGAAACACTGTTGAAGATTTTGGCGGATCTGTAGACGTAGTTTCGGACACATCTGTTACAAATGGTAAGTGCTGATAGTAATATAAATAGCACTATCAAAAAGTATTTTTTTACTTATTGAAAGTGAAGTGTACTTAGTCATTTACAGTAGAATGTATTTAGTTATCTTAATTTTTTCTTTTTTCAGCACTTCTAAATTTCTCTTTGAATAACATCGCTCAGTATCGTAACAACTTTATCGTGTCTGCCGAATTTAATACCAGTGGAGATGACATGTTGGTAAACGGTTTTTATTCTGGAACAGCACTCCACAGTGTGCCGTTGACAGTGAATCTCTTGAGTAATTCGTTGCTCAAGACTTTCGTTGGCGATAAACACTCGATTCATGTGTCTAGGCAACAATTACCGAACACACTATCCTCGTCTAGCATTGAAATGCCAGAAGCAGAATCATTTTCGCGCACTTTGATATTTTGCGCATTCTTCTTTCCTACCGTGGCGCTTTTCGTAGGGCATCCTTTACAGGAAAAGTCGACGAAAGTTAAGCAACTTCAACGCATGACGGGCGTTACGTCTGTATCATATTGGGGAACAATGTTCATTTTCGATCTTTTGATACTTACGGTGTGCGTGTTGCTAATTACTTTAACATTTTACATCATGGACGTTATTCTCGATGTCCGTTTATACTATAGAATAGAAATAAGTAAGTCTATATACCAATCTATATCAGTTAAAACTAATATTTTATGTTATTCTTTTTACGCTCATTCTCACTTGTGTTTCTTTTTCAGTGTCCACGATATTGCTTCTAGAATTGTTTGGTATTAATGCTTTGCTTATAGCATATATATTTAGTTTTCTAAATAAATCAAGGAGCACGGTAATAACCATTTTGGGTCTTGCACCTCTTGGTTTTGGTAAGTTTACATGTTTCTGAATATGTTATTAAAAGTATGTTAAATAAAAGAAAGATAGTCTGAACAATTTTTATTTCAGTTATAATACAATATCTTCTACACGAATTAGTGCATAACTTTGACCAGCTTAAAGTATTACATATTATACTGAAAAGAATTTTCCGACTAATTCCTTACGTAAGCTTCTACCATGGGCAACTGGCCTTTTTCAACATAGCTGCACAAAATGCAAGATGTCGTCGCCTGCCAAATAAACTTTACAAAATGACTTGTTTTGTCCGAGATCGTTGCTGTGGTAAGATTTTGCGATGCCTATATATAAGATTTATTTTTAAACTATGCTGGTAATGAGATGAAGGCGATAATTTACTTTCTCGTCATTCTTATTGCAGGCTTGAATTGTGCGGATGGAACTTGCAAAAATCAAATGCCTTATTTTAAGAACTTTGAAGACGACATGAATTTTGAAGAGTCCATACTATATCTTGCTTTAACACCAATTTTGTATTTTACTATATTGCTATTTTTAGAGGAGAAACTGTTCCCGTTGTTAATCGCGAAGGCTACCAAATCGCAATTGAGGAATGCATGCGACACGATGGATGATCAAGTGAAGAAAGAGAAACATGTGGTAGCGTTAGAAATCAATAAAATCAACAGCAGTAGTAAGATTAATTTTGAGTATTTTCAATATAATAATGCTCCAGTACGAAAGATTTAAATATACTTTTATGTACAGACACCAGCACCGAACTAGAAGACGCAAAAGCAGCTATTGCCACTAGTGGAAATAGTGAAACTTTGCGAAGTCCATTTAATGAGGGTAATAGTCTCTTTTTGGTGTACGAATTAAGCAAATACTACGGAAAGTTAATGGCTGTAAAGGAAGTTAGTTTTCGAGTGAAGCCACGAGAATGTTTCGGACTGCTTGGCGTGAACGGTGCCGGGAAAAGTACGACTTTTAGAATGTTAACTGGAGAAGAGATGCCTAACAGCGGCATAATGTACTTAAAAAATGCGGACTTCCACACAAACAGAAAACAGGTAACGACGAGTGTCGTGTTCTAATGTTGTTTCTAATATTAAAGAAATTTCTATTCACAGTATATGTCTGAGATGGGTTATTGTCCGCAAACCGACGCTTTAATTCCTTCCTTGAACACTTTCGATCATCTAAGACTGTTTGCTCGTCTTCGCGGTATACCAAAGTCAAACGTGGAATTGGAAGTTAACAAATGGATCAACAGGCTAAGTGAGTCTACCATCATGTTAATAGACAATGGATAAAATGGACGATGTAGAGTTTTAAAAGAGGGCGGAATTCTGTATAATGCAGTACATACAATGCAACAACACACCTCTACGTATTTTCTTTTAGATTTGACTGCTTGCATGTCGCAACCAAGCGATACTTATAGCGGCGGTAATAAGAGACGCTTAAATATCGCGATGGCTCTTATCGGTAATCCTACTCTCGTGCTTCTGGACGAACCCACAACCGGCGTCGATCCTGCGGCCAGAAGATCGCTGTGGAATACTTTGCAGTCTTGTCAGGCAGCCGGACAAGCCATTATACTTACGTCTCACAGGTGAATCCAATACAATTATTCTAGTATTTCGAGTATTCGCTTTGGAATCTTGATGATATTCGTAGGAGCAAATATTAACACATTGTTCGACAGTATGGAGGAATGCGAGGCACTTTGCAATCGACTAGTTATCATGGTGAAGGGACAATTGGTTTGCATTGGCGCGTGTCAGGAACTGAAACAACGATTTGGAGCAGGATACAATATTCATATAAAACTGAATCCGGGCCGTTCAGATGAGGAAGCCGAAAGTATTAAGAATATTATTGAGTCTACTTTAACGTGCGATATCACAGATGAAAATTTGGTAATAACATATTTATATTTTTTGTATTGTGTTTCAAGATTTTCTTTTTTTTCATTTGCATTAATTTTTATTTGTCTTTTTTGCAGAGTTTACTCGCCTATCACGTAACCGATTGCGACACAACGTGGGAAAAAATGTACAGTACAATGAATGATGTGAAGCAAAGTTACAATTGTATCGAGGATTATGCAGTTTTGTCGGCGACCTTAGAACAGCTATTTATACAATTTGCGAGAGGAGTTGAACAGCTGCAGCCTACAGAATCGTCAAATCAAGTTGCTAGTCATGAAGAAACAGTATAAAAGTCAAGTTTGATTTGCTCTATAAGTATTCCAATATACAGGGTGTCCCACAACTGGTAGAACACTCTTAGGAGTAAAACGGATGTTCTAGCAGTTGTAGGACCCTCTGTATATACCCAAACAACATCAAGTCGACTGAAAGCCGACTCGACTATAGTCGATCATTTGTCAACTTAGAGAATTCGACTTTATGTCGATTATAAAAAGTCGACTTAAAGTTGATTAAAAAAAAATCGACTTTCAGTTGGCAAACAGTCATTCATGCTGTGTGGGTACTCACCGAAGATACAATACGGATTATAAAAAAATAAAACATGCCTACTAATTGTCCAAATTAATAGATTAGTGCGTATCACAATTAACGCTATATTCATAAAGTAACTTTTAGTTTTTAAATTATTTCACGATAATTATTTCATATGTTTTACTTCATAGAAATAGATATTTTAACGTAATATTTTTTTATAAAAATACTTTTTTCTCTATGCGTGGCATGAAAGTATTAATTTAAATTATTTATATGTACAGTAATTATTTATATTCAGAATATAATTACTTATACACAGAATATATGTATATTATAATACACTTTTTATTCAAAAAAATATATGTATATATAAAAACATTGTAGTTGATATAATCATGTCTATGTAAAGTGCGTGTTCTCAGTTACATAAATCATGTCGCGTACACTTGATAGATACTTCGTAATTATCCTACAAGTCGACGTTACAACATCTCTAAAAAGTCGAGCAGCATTGCACCGGTATACAAAATTGAAAGGAAAGACAAAGAAGATTAGAGAGCAGGCATTCCATAAATAAAATACACTCGCGTATTTTCTATATAAATAAGGAGACTTGCATAAATGACATACTGTTATGTACATAAGCCCGTCCGCAAGTAAGATTATCGTAGTGAAACGGCATTTGCGTGTGTTCAACACGATGATTTTCACGCGAATTCACTGTCTAGTATCGGTATCCTCCGCCACCCGAACTTGCTTGATACGAGCTCGGTCCCTGATAAGCACCACCTCGACCGCCTCCTTTAAGATTACAAACGAAATAGATAGTAAACGTATTAAAAATAAATGAAAAGCTTTGATCTCAAATGTGATAACAACAATAGTCTATAATTGATTACATTCAAAGTCCATAGATTACCTCCACTAGGATAGCCACCTCCTTCCTGCGAATATCCTCCGTCTTGATTTTCGCCTCTGGCTTCGGCGGCGAGCGCGAGCTCAACGCCTCGTTGGATTTCCGGCGGAATCGGGGGCGGTGTCGGCAAGTGGGCACCTTGAGGATGAAAACCATACTCGTCTGCCGTGTACGTGATTGAGTATTGCACACCATCGGCTCCGGTGTAAGAGAAGGATCCGCTCACCGACTCGGACTCACCTGTAATCAACGCGCACCGGTTTATTTTGATGCAACGTATTGTCGGATCGACATGTTGCGACATGACACTCCATGGTTCTTCTATTTAGCAGCTATTTACTTTCTTAATATTCAGGATTTACGAAAGTGCAAGAATCAATATGTCAAAGACCAGTGAATTAATTGGGAAATGGAGATTGGGAAGTGAGCAATTTCTCACCTTGCTGATGACCCGTTTCTTGAACAGAGATGCCGTTTCCAGTTTCATAGCTGAATTGATAGTTTCCGTCGCCAGCGTTCTCGTTACTGTAAGAGACGATTGGTATGTCTTGACCGGGTCCGCCTCGTGAACCTGAGATGAAAAACAATAAGAGTGACATAAAAGTAAACTTCATTCGAGATGAAACAATTTTTATTTTATTTTAAGCACAATTTTGAAAGACGAGGTACGTATAAAAGAAGATTTCATTCAATTCATCGATCATATAGTAATTGGAACAGAAATTTGAATATCATAGAAATAAAATGGAAATATATAATCGCGCGTAATATATATATCATAGAATAGAAATTTAATTTTTAGAATAAGAGCTGTATGGGGTGTATGTGAAATTATATATATATGCGTAAACTCTGTTTCTTTTTTCAATTTCGTTCTGACTTACCGCCCGGATAAACGCCGCTGCCGCCACCACCTCCAGGACCGAATCCACCATGACCACCAGGTCCGCTAGGTACACCATAGGTGCCAGGTCCACCAGGTCCACTAGGTACACCATAGGTGGTACCAGGCCCACCGGGCCCACCACCTGGACTACCGTGTCTACCAGGGCCACCGCGTCCTAGAGGAGGAATCAATCCTGTTCCACCTGCACTTCCGGCGCTACCGGGCGGAAGATAAGTGCTGTCCAGCCGTGCAGCGTAGCACGTACCGACGATGGTCAGCAGCGCGATGATGAGCTGCTGAAATCATTGAAAAATATATAAACTTTTGAGTTAAAAAAAATCGCAAAGTACCGATGTGGGTTAAACAGAGTTGGTTTAAGTAAGACGCTTTACATCCGTTTCACGGCACAAGAAATAAAGAGACACGAAATGAGATAATTGCTCGAGAGCGTCTGTTAAACATCTCCAGATTAGGCAACTGAGCGATGTAATTATAATAAAGTTCCATTTTTCTCAGACTCCGTTTCACAAAGTTTCACACGAAGCAGAAATCCCACGGTAATCGTTGAAGAATCGTCCACGCGAGACAACTCTCGAGCGCACCATTCTGCACGATACGTCGCTCGTGTACTCCCGATTCGCGGTCGCTTCGGGGCGGAAAATTCGATTTGTGACCGGAAGTACGAGTGGGAAAGCTGCAGGTTATACGACTCGTACCCGTCTCATCTCGCTGGCTTTGCCCGTACGCTCGTTGATCAAATTCCAGCGGTATTACTCGTCGCACTGCAGCGGGACACCCAAGTGTGTATCGCCAAACCGACAACGATAATTGGTCTGTGAGGATCCAGGTCGTATCCAGCATGCTTATATACCGATCCCGCAGAGGATCGTCTTCCTCCCACCCACCGATGAGAAACCGCGCGCGCGGATGGCATCGCGGCTACAGATCACCCGGTGCGTTCTTCGAAGATTTGCCATCTCTTCGCTGCGAAAGGAGCCGTGGTGAGAGACAGAAAGAGAGAGAGAGAGAAAGATAGGTAGATAGAAGAGAAATAGAAAAAGAGGTACCGATGCCGGATGAAAAAGTACACAGTGCCGAGGGGCGAAGAAGGCCTCTCCGTTAAGATGAACCTCGTCGAGTAACGTGGGATGAAGAGTGGTTGCGCAACGTCAAGTGATACAGATCGGCAAATATCTTCGGACGAACCTGAAGGTCGGCCCCAACGGGGTCAGTTTGAAAGTGAAGTGATAGGGTCGAGAGAGGTGTAAAAGTGAGATAAGATATAAACCTTATTGTCATCTAGGATACAATATTTCATCCTCAGCCGTTTCCATAACCGATATTCTATGAAAAAAATTTATCTATTTGCAAATCTAGGTACACGAAAACAGCGAGACTCACATAGTCTGACTATTGAGACTTCTACGTTTTGGAAATTGTTATATTCGATACCTCGATGCGCGCCTCAATGAGTAGAGACAGGGAAGCGGTGAGAAAGCACGGAAAAGCAGTAGAGTTGATGAGGTGCCGATGGCATGCACCTCGACGCGCGTTCTCCCTTGTAATTATATCGGCTCTTTCGACGGGAATTATACCCGTTCGCTCTGGGGTCGCCGCAGCATCATCATCACCATCGCCGCCGTCGTCGTTGTCGTCCGTGGCGGCGGCGGCTTATGGAGAGCAATGCGCGCTCCGCAATCGAGCGGGTTCGTTGTGCAATCGGTACGTTGAGCATCTCCGGAGCGCGTCGGAGTTAGTACGCGCATGCATGCCGATGATCGTGTGCGTGCATTAGGTCGGGGACCGGGTGTACCTGGGATGATTTCCCGCGCGGTCCTAAACGCGCCGCCGTTGACGCACTCCACAGTCTGCAAAGACCAAGGGTTTACCATCTCCGCTCGGTTACGGCGAGAATTAACAGCGAGCTATTACCTTGTCAAGAGCTTATGCGCATTTTTACTCGAGCGGTCTGAATATTCGGATAATTATACGATCGGGGCTCGGGAAAGGCGTCGAGCTAAGAATTAGATCCGGTTACTCGCACAGATTCGACGATTACGTAAGGCGAGCTCTAAGAGACTAATCAGAGGAATCATAGGTTTGGCGTTCGTCGCGAGGAGCACAAAAGTCACATCCATGATCCTCGACGGGAGAGTGTTACACATCCATGCAGCTGCAATTGCGCATAATATAGCGTCATAAATAGCTCCACAAGAAATCTACGCGTAAATGCGCGTAGGATCTGCAGTGCGCTTAAGATCGCCAGGTATTCCCGATCGGCACGTAACTCACTGGTTAACGATCCACCTTTGGGTCACCATGCTCGCGCTTCGCCGTAGACGCCTCGACGTGATGATCGCACATCCCAATAAGCAACACGCTCACTTCGACAGAGAGAAAGACCTGGTGTACACACATCGCGATCGAATCTTCAGGTCCATATTTAGAGATCGTAAGCGATGTTAGAGGATGTTACATCGTGCGACTTTCGGCGGATTCGGCGCACAAGTATATAGATAGAGTCGGGATTCGCCTGAAAAAATTTGTATAGTTAACAATTGGCTCGAGATACGAAAGAGAGTCTCAATATTTTCAGAAGCTATTCGCAACGTCACGACTGCGAACAGTTTAAAAAGCTTCAAGACGGAAGTCCCGAAACGCGCCCGTCCCTACGTATAGTGTCTTGATTCCCGACGTTAAATAGATGTACCCGGCACGAGTGTCAGGTTGGATGCAGGGGTGCGGCTACGGTAAAAAAAATCATGCCGATCGTGAGCTACGAGTTCGATAATAAGATACGGCACCCGTATCGGGACATCGCATCCCACTCCGCCGACGCTTTCTAAGAGAATCGAGTCACCGATATTCATCCAGAAGACCCAGCCCTTTTAGCACGCTATCCGTGCATTCATCTACGGCTCGACGGCTCGTGTTATGCCAGAGGTAAGGTTCACTGGCGCGAGAACTCTTCGAACTAGTTCGGATTTGAGGAGCCGAGGAGGTGTATCGAATTCCATGAGCGTCCTGCAATAATTGGAAGGTAGGCGAGCAACTAGCCGCCGTCCTTCGCGATTAATCGCCGGTCGCTTCTAGTCTGACGATTTCAGCGTCAGATCTTATCGATCGCGGTGAGGATGGTGCCGTCCTTCGAAGGCGTGCACGTTCCCAGATTAACTTGCGACCATTCCATTGAGCCAGCACAAAACGCTAAGGGACGCCTTAAAGACATTCGAAAGACGTCTAGAAGAAATAGAATAATCTTTTGGATATCTTTAAGACATCTTTTAGTAATTTGTCTGGAAAGAAATAATTTGAGAAAAAAGAGAAACATGTTGCAGAACACTCGGCAGAAGCTATCTCGTATTTTTGTTGCTCGCGAACCTAGAAAGAAAATATGTTACAGCCTTGATTCTCGTTTCGCTAGCAGCCTGTGCAGATTAGCCATAATCGCCGCCGCCTGACGGCGCGCGAACTCGATCGGTCTTCGACAGCGTATCGCGGAAGTATGTCGAGGGTCATTATTGAAGAGCGATATATAATAAAGAGATTGTGCAGAAGCAGGAGTGTGTGCTCTCCCTCCGCTCTCCTTCTTACGACCTCGTGCACGCGATCGCACTATTTCGAAAGAATAGCCTGCGTCGGAGGTCGATGGAGGGAAAAAAAGCTGCGGTCTCTCGGCAGCTCTTACGTGTCGCGGTCTTGACGCAACTCGACGACGCAGCAAAAAATGGAAGAAAGGAAGAAGAGCGAATCAGAGATTTCTACGCCTCGCGCGGGGTTCAGGGGAGCAGGCAGACTCGCGAGAGAAGCGATCGCGATCATTTTTGTCTTGTAGGTTGCGCTCTGTAAGTTCGGCAGCGTAGCGAAGTCGATCTTGCTCGTCGATGGAAGGATCGAGTGCTTGTGTTCCTGGAAAAATGATAGTACTGTTATCAATCGTTACTCACTCGTTTGATGCGTGGTTATTCTATCAATTTCATATACATCAATATTGTATATCAAATCTTTATTCTACCAATTTTACATATCAATTAATAGGCGCTAAATATTTGCGCATGCAACATTCATTGTGATACAATCGGATTATTTTATGAGCAGAAACACGAATTTAATCCAATTTCCTAGTGCCATCGAGCGAGAAAACTACAATATATGCTCGCTAATAACTTGGGACGTGTCTGATTACACGGCGGGAATCGATTTCTTCACGTGTACGAAACGCTAAACTTAATTACGCGCCAATTTGCGCGCTCGCTTCGATCGCGTTGTGAATAAGCGGAAAACACACAGGACCACCGCATTACGTCATCGTGACTGAACGACTCGACGTACTGTTTTCTAACTTAGCCTAGGCGTGCATAATTGGGATATCTCGTCAATTTCCGTTAACTTACGCTGGAACTGCATTCCGCCGTCATTAATGGATATTGTCTGCGTCTGTTACTTCATTTTCATATCTTTCCTCCGCTCGGACCGCTGTAAAATGGAACGGCATTATTTTATTGCCGGCTAGTATCTTCCCACGATCATCTCTGTCGATATGTACTTTCTATGGGTAACATGATGGATGTTTCTTACAGGAATCATTGGTACAGGATGTTTCAAGCTCGTTGAATACTGCTTTGACTCTTCATCCGTGACGTTCTGTTCTATAACATACAAAAAAAACACGCTGTAGACTTCAAGTGATTTAGAATATTTTTTGGTAGATTTTTATATGCATCTTTTAAAGAAAAAAAAATATTTTATTAAATATATGTAAAATATAATTAAAATATATCTTGGAAAAAGAAACACATACCAGATCACAGTAATATTACATCAATGTTATAATTTTCCATTTAACAATGGAACTGTTACATATATATGCCAGATTACACTTATCGGAAGTTATAACATTAATGTAACGTTACTGTCAGTTAGTGTTTACTGGGGGATACATAAACATGTATATA